GTTAACAGTGGAAATCTGACGTATGTAATCTTCGAAAGGGAGTCACTATTCTTACAAGAAATTAAAAGAAAAAAATTTGGATCCATTTGTGAGTAAAAATTTTGAAAGTATCCCAGACACTTCATGTAGAATATTTAAACAATATTTTTCAAAATCCCTGGTCGTTGAGCTAAAGCAGTCTTTATCCAAGAGAATCCACGTTATATGCGTCCTTAATACCGAAAAACCGTTTGACGTCAAAACAACCCCAGCACATGAAACGGTCAGCCGATTTTCTCCAATATGGATACTCCTCAATTAATCTGTCTGAGGTCGTGGCCTCTTGTATTTGAAACTGATATTTCGACTTTAAAAAAGGGAATACCGTTTTCTCGGTATTTGTGATTTTTTTCATTAATTTGATTACTGATACCTTATTATTATAACTATGAACATACATATAAATGTTATGAATGTTATTACTGCAAAGGCCAAAAATTTAAAATCGAGACAGCGTAGAGGCCGATATTAATAATTTGATCGAGGCAGTAATAACACAGTAATATTTAGATTTAGATTTAGATTTATTCAGTCAAAAAACAGTAAAAACTGTATGTGACGTATGGGGGTGAAGATTATCTGCGCACGTTTTCTTGAGTTCCAGAATCCCTTTCCGATATTTTAAGTATAAATAGTTGAAAGATGAGTAAAAGTTAACGATTAATAAATAAATAAAAATACTTTTTTAAAAAGGCGAGATTAGCGACATTTGAAAATCTAGTTATTTTCTTTCCCGAGTTATACAAAACTTATTTGCAACTATAAGATTTTATTTCCTGCATTGCTAACTAAATAGTAATTCGCCCTTACCTCCTACCACTATAATCAAAAGGAGAGTTCAACAAAACGTGCGCATAGTGAAGCTACATTTACATCCAGAAGCAAAACAAGGGGCCTTCTCATCATTTGCTCAATGGATCAGGGAAACTGAACAAAAACCTGATCGAGAAGGGGGTCATTGACCCGGAAGCTGAAGTACATTATTTGTTACAAACATATTAAGTCTGTAAAAAAATATACAATACAAATGTAAACTAATTCATTATATATCACTGTTTTGTTAAAATAAACATTTTTTTATAATCAGTATAGTCTCTAATCGTAAAGAAACAGTTACGCAGCTTTTACTTTTAACTTCAATTTGTGAACCGACTTCAATTGTTTAATGTCATCTGGCAATGCGTTGTAAAATAACGTACATGAATTGTATGTGGATTTCTGATAGTGAGCTGTTGATACTGTCACTTGATGAACGTGATTTTTACGACGAGTGTTGTAATTACAAATGTCTGTATTGCATGAAAATATGTTCCCACCGTTAAGTAAGTCACTTTTAACAAATATTACAGATTCGTAAATATATAGGCAAGGCAGTGGTAAGATTTCAAGCTCAATGGAGAGAGGCTTGCAAAGGTAACGCGGATGGAATTCGAATTATTTTCTTTTGCAATCTAAAGGTCTGAGTACTACAGGATGAGTTTACCCACAATTGTATACCATATCTCAGGCGGGAATGTACATTTGCAAAATACACACAACGAGCTGCATGACGGCTGACAGAATTTGATAGAATTCTGAATGCGTAAAATAATTAACTTAATTTAGTGTTTAATTTTGTTATATGTACATTCCATTTGAGATTTGACTGAATTGACAGTCCTAGAAATTTTGTTACCTGAACATCACCTAATAACATATTATTCATTTTCAATGGAGCATGCAATCGCTGATTTGAAAGGCAAAAATGCCTTAATTTTGTAAACAGACGTGTGCAGTTAAGCCATTCTATCCAGCATACAACAGTCGTGTTTGACTCGACAAGTATTGTTTTGTGAAAATTAAGGTGCCTATATTGGATAGTAAAGCATTCCACATTAAACCGCCACGTAATAGTTCAATTGTTGAGAATATTGGTTTTAGTTTTACGATTGGAAATCAGAAAGATTTTGTAATTAGTTATTAAAAGGGGGCGAATTGTAAAGAAATGTCATTTTTTCTTTTAGTTTAAAACAATTCCCTTTAGTATGGAAGTTCATTTTATGTAATTACAAAAGGATTTTTTAATAACCTAAGCTCATTTTTATACGATTTTTTGCATTTTTCGTCGATTTCATCTAGGCAATTTCTTTTACCTTTTTCATTATTTTTAAAATAATTTTTCGCATATTTCGTGAATTTTAATGTCGTTTTAATGGCGCTTGCTTTAAATAATATTTGCGAGATGCCACAAATGTTTTCCACGGAATTCTTGAGTAGCGTATTCAGTTTCTTTGCTCAGAAATTGCAATGTCAGCAGTTGTATGTAATCAACGATTCCTGTTACGCCTTCAGCACCATTGTCGGTTCGACGAATTTCACGATAGCTAAAGACAAAGATTTCCTGGTTCAGTCGTTTCCTTGTTGAGTTCACTTGAACGAAACGAAGAAGCCTCGATTACATCGGTAACATATCCAACAGATTGAGTTGTTCATCTGAACTGGTTTTCACCTTTCTTTTAGTCTTTTTTCTTTGCTTTGAGGATTTTTTTAAAAAAACGTTTTAAGAGCATTTCATGGATAATTTTGGGCGATGTTTAAGATTCTTAAATACGCTACCTAGTTATTAGTAATACTGTTTCTAATTTCTGTGTTTATCCGCATGTAATATAATTTTATGTATAATGGCGTAAGTATATTTACACCATGAATGTAACTATGTAACAATATTAAATTATGTATAATAAATATCAAACATTCTTTAGAAATGTTTATTTTATTTCATTTTTACTTGTAACCCCTTCCACTTCAAATTCTAAACTTTTCCAATAAAACAATATTGGTAATATTAATATAGGCGGATTAGGATTCAAAGTATAAATGTCTCTCCAAATCAAAAGTTGCCCCTTAGCGGCTTCTAGTACTCCTCGACACTCGTTTGCGCCTGCGACCTACGCGCGGTGGAAGAGAACCGTAGCCCTAAGAAAGTATCAACTGAAATGCCTTTTGTGCAGCTTCTGCTGTGCTGCTGGCCATGTATACCATATAAGGATATCCCCCCCCCAGCGCATCCACCGCTATAAACTGCAGTCCCTCTGACCGGGAGGTCCTAGCTTCGAGTCCCGACGGTGGCAGGATTTTCGACGCTAGCTCGTCAGCTAGATCTAATTCAGTCGCTGTCTGGAGGAGAATTCTAGCGGCCGGCTGCTCTGGTCGGTGGTTTTCCGTGGTTTCTCCCATCAACGCCAGGCGAATGCCGGAGCAGAACCCTTACAAATGGGCCACGGACCGCCCTCAATTTTCCTTCCCTTCCCTTTTCTTTTCCTATCCTCACCCCTTACACACACACACACACACACACACACACACACACACACACACACACACACACACACACACACACTAATGTTTAACATTGAAACAAAACAATAAGAAAATCATGTTTGAACAATGAGAATTTTAATTTTATGTGAAATAACATGTGGTATAGAAATATCACGTATCCATACATATTTAATAAATTCATTCCTGTAATATTCATATAAAAATTTATTCTTATATTTGTAAATCTGTAAATTCACTTAAAAATTGTGCAGGAGCTAAAAATGACCATCCACTTTACTTGTGACACCATACAGATGGTAATCACTTTCAGTAACATGTTCAAAGCTAATATTTACAAATTTTACTGAATTTCAAGATAAACCTCCAACAGATATAAGCATGTGTCATTATTTACTATTGGATAATCGACATTGTTTTAAGTCAATAATTCTATGATAAAATGTCAGAATTATATAAGTCATTTTTCCATGACATGAGACACAAAATGACATAAGTCGCTCTTGTTTGATAATGTTCAGAAGTAGGCAAAAAGTGCATTTCTCTGGTAATTTACGAAAACACAATGGTGGCAAATTGCAATAATACAAAAGCCACAAAGTAATTTTTCATTTCATTTTGATGCTTAAAATTGCTGTAATGGAACATTTTTAAAACGTGACTGATAACATTTTGCCATGTAAGCACAGAATTACTAGAACATTCATTAAGATAAACATTATATAAATATTTCCAATGTTTTTCTACATTTTTTTAAAGTCTTATTTTTCTATAATTAAATTAAACTCATTTTATAAATGAGTAAACAATCATTAATTACAAATTGAGTAGAGTAATTGCATTTCTGCATTCTTGGCTATCCGGGATGAGCCGCGTCTCGGTCAATTGTACTGACGTTTCGACCATCTTGCTGTGGCCTTCTTCAGAGCTATACTGCTGCTGCGGGATAGATATACTGCAGTATATCCCGCAGCAGCAGTATAGCTTTGAAGAAGGCCACAGCAAGAAGGCCGAATCGTCAGTACAATTGACCGAGACGCGGCTCATCCCGGAAGCCTAGGAACCCATATAATTGCATTTCTATTTATTTTTACATTTTTAATTAAATTCTTCTGTTAGTTTTGTTTAATGGATTTCTACCTATATTATATAAAAAATACACAATTTTTTGTGAACATGTCTATAAATTAAGATTTGCACAAACAAAATTATCATTGAAATTCATCATCTACTGCAGGCCTGATTCTGTTTAAGTAGTCAAGTGACACTAGAATAATATTCCAAAAATCCTTGCATTCCCATGTCTTTCTTTTCTACTGTCACAATGGTTTGTATTTTAGAGCAGTCTTTGAGAATCTTCTTGGACTCTTTTAATAAAATCTTACTTGTTCTACAGATTGTTTTCAACTAACTTTGTCGCGATTAATGTTTTCATTTTTGTCGCCAAATATTATTTCGTAACAATTTATGGTATGGCAACTTCCAAAAGATTGTGGAACCTCGTACATAAAATTTGCCCATTTTCTGCAAAAAATACCACTCTACAACAAAACACAAGAAAAATAAATATACATTCCTCGCACAAAACTATATTCAAAACGCGCGCAAAAATGCAACAGCAGCGTTGTCTGCAGCAGTGTTGTCATAGTGTAAAAATTAAATAGTTGGCAAGGGTGCTCGGTGACAGAAACTGCGCTCCTGGCCGGTTTGTCTCAATCATGTGTCTGTGCTCTTACACCGAAGTAGAATACTTTTCCCGTTATTTTTAAAGATCAAAATAGTTGTTGATCATTCTTTCGAGGTAGCATTGTTTATTGTAAGTTGTCGCAACTTCTGCTGCAAATGGATAAATGGTGCATTACACCACACTTATAAAACTTGCGCATATAGTACACTAACCTCACCTCAGCTCTAAATCGATATGCTCGTCTGTTAATTTTTGTAGGCCAGTATCCTGTATTAAATATATATATTTACCAGGTGTATTAGCATACCTCCATGGTATCCTTATGATCTTGTATTCCCAGCTTATGGAAAGGAGAAGCTGTTCATTGTTTTATTGGTCAGTTTGACAAAAATGGATGACCAACAAATTTTAGCACTAAGTGTCATTAAAATAGAAAAGGTAAGATTTAATTTCTAATTTTAAAACTGAGTAACAATGATGATATAATCTAAAGAGTTATATTTGTTTGTAATGTTGAGTGAAGCAGTGTTCAGCGACATTAGTAAGAGCAACTGTTGAAGCCACAGTATTATCTGGCATTGCTTGTTGAGTATTTTGTAGGTTAAAATATTCGAATTTTTATGCATTTGTTTTTACTTATTGTGTGTGAAAGCAACAAGTTAGTCTCTCACATCAAGGACTGCACAAAACATTACAATGATCTGCATTCTTTTTCCCATTGTATATTGGATGATTTGTATGAAATTTCTTATCATTACCTACTTTTTTCTTTCTTTTTTTGTATCCTTTGTTTATAATCCTTGTTCTTGTGTAAAATCATGTGATGTTTGCAGGAAGAATACGATCCAAAAGCACATGAATTTTCAGTGAAAGAAGAAAAAAATGCAGAGGAAGTTAGCTATGTTTCATATACTGTGACAGTTTCCCTGGTTGAACCATTCATACTTGATTTATGGATTACATATTAAACCAAAACCTGGTGATCAAAGGAAAAATATCCTGAAGTTTTGAAACTGGGAATGATTGTTTGTTGGTACCTACTTCATATTATACAAAAAATCGTAAAGTGTGGGGAAGGGGGATGTTTTCTCATTTTTTTTGCATATATCTCCTTAAGTATCACTCAAACTTATGCGTGTATACAGAATTAAAGTGCACAAAATTTCCTACATAAAAGTTCCTATAAAGTTTTGTTGTAAAATTAATCCTTTAAAAGTTGTAGTCTCGAGAAGCTCTTGTTTTTATTTACAAGATCCTTTTTTCATAGATAACCCCATATAAAAATGATTTTATATCTTCAAAACATGAGTAATTTTATTGTTGTTCAACATTAATCCACATGTATTTGAATGTTTTACTCAAAAAATATGAACTTTTTACATCTTATCAAATCTTAACATGTACATATTTGCAAATATCCAAGGTTATTGTGTCCAAGATTACCACGGGTACTAAAGTGATAGTCTATTTGTGAATAATTGAGTTCAAATATTTGGTAAATGATTCTGTTCACTTGTGAACATATAAATTACCAAAACAATACAATAGTACAAATATCGTAAATGAAAAAATCACATTTACAGTGTACCTAGAGGGTTAACTAAAACTGTGTGCCAGTGATGGATACACTTTTTTTTTGTGAGAACTTCATTCTTGTCTAAAACCATGTGATGCTTGCAGGAAGAATACGATCCAGAAGCATGTGGATTTTCAGTGAAAGAAGAAAAGGATGCAGAGGAGGTTAGCTATGTTTCATACTCTTATAATAGTATCCAAGGTTAAACCATCCACAATATTGGTTATGTATATGGATTAAGTATATGGGTTACATGTGTGACTATTAGAGCAGTGTACTTATACTTCAGAAAAGAATCTTGAGAGCTACATTCAAAATAAAAAGGATTGATAGCTGCAACACTGCTTTTCAAGATTAAAATCTCTTTACAGCTTGTGGACATTAGGTATACAATACATCATCATCATTGTTAGGGAATGGATTTCTATGATTTTGCAGATTTTTGTCCGTTGCTTCAGGGCTAATTGAAATTTCTTGACATTTGTTTAAAATTGGATGCTATTTAAATTAATGTGTTGGTGCATATCTGTCTGATTTTTCTTGTTGGTGCATATTTATGTAATTGTAGGCACATATTTTGCATATTTCGTTAAAATAGAGATTCTCTGAAATGTTTCATAGAACCCAATATTCATTTGTGAAAATTCATTGAGCACAGTTAGCATGTTTTTGTTTCCTATAGATGATAAAATACTTGTGCAAATGTAGGATATTTCCTGAGAATATAATTTTTTAAATTGTCGGAAGAAATTCAACAAGACATGCAGTGTACTTTAGGGTGAATATTTACTTGAATTATTTCTCTCGTGAAGTAGCATAGATTATGTTCTGTTTGCACAAAAATATATATTTTCATTCCAAGCATGCTTGAATTTTATGAAGAAATGTTTACGGAGGAAATGAAATATTGTTAATTTTAAAAACATTTCAAAATTTTTTAGAACCTAAGAATCCTTGATTAAAGAAGGGTACACAGTACACCTTTAGAGAAGTGGGGCAGCAGGGAGGGAGGGGGAGGAGAAGTCTCCTTAAGCCCTCCCCCAAATTACGCTAAGCGCTCTGATAGAAATGAATAAAACTTTCATGACCCAAAGATAGGCCATTACAAATACCTAAATCACACTCAACTTGCATCCCATGAACCATGACTCCTTCTGCATGAACACTTATGTGTATGAGGAGTGGCTCTTTTCTTTCTACACTTCCACTCGAAACCTTCACACAACGCCATTCGGTTGGCCAATCCCATCGGAGACTTACACACAGGACATTCAAATTCTTCAGCAACCAAACCACGTTCTTGCACCCATTCAAAGACAGTCAAATACGCCGTTTGGCACAATGCGTAAAAAGGCCACATTTATTCTCATCATTGTTGCACAGACACTTGACTCTCGTAATCCGGGAAATTTTAAGGATGAAAAAATAGTTTGTACGCTTTCCTTCAGAGGGGAAGTAAAGCCGGCTGCAGCACGTTGTAGATTTACGGAATGTAAAAGATCCTCAATCCTAAAAGAAGCCTCTGAACTAAATTCAAGGTACCTGAGTGATACCTTCTTGCTACGCTAGATGGTGAAAAGTGTGTAGCAAACTTTGCGTCGTCAAACGGAGGAGCGGGCCTGATGGCTTGAGTATCGCCATGTACAATAGGGCTTGAACTAACTCCATTATATTTCTATATTTTATCTTGTACATCCCTTGCATTCATCCAATAATGTTGCCTAGATAGCAGAACTGTTGTACTTGTTCTATTCCTCCTCCCCTATTGCCATATTGTCTTGTCTAATTTGCTTTTCTTAAAACGTCATTGTTATGGTATTTTTTCGAAATTATCATGACAAAATCGTCTACTATTGTGAATAGTTCCATATGCTACATTTTGTAGATCATCTTCTCTTTCCATTACCATTGACAAAACATTGCATGAAAGAAGGTTTTTAGTTGTCGTCTTTTATTATTAGGTTTATGAGGTTACCTTTGCTTTTGTTTTTCCTTCGTATGGTTGGCAGAGATATTAAAAAGACATGGTAATAATTGTGTCAGACATGTTGGTTTTAAAAGCTTCTACGATTGTACAATGCAATTTGTATGCAATACAGTATCATATTATTCATCAAATACTTAGAAAAACAATATACCTTTTGTTTTGTGCTTCAAAAGACTATTTCCAAGTACTTAAAAGGGATGTTTACTTCAATTAGCCTCACCACTTTTTGTGTAGTGATTAAATTCAAATAAAATAGATGAAAACATTATCTGTTCACAATGTGTAAATATGTTTCAAGAAAATTACTAAATCTGTTAATAAAAAGGATCATTAATTAGAATAACTTATAATTTCCATTATTCCCTAAAAGTTATGTTCCATTTTTCAGGCAGAACTAGAACCTCCAACTGCTGTGTTTATTTCGCAAGTCGAGATAAAACAAGAAGAGCCTGAACAGGAATACAATGTGAGCAAAGTAGTGGACTATATTTTATGAAAATATTATGTGAAATTATGTTGTCACCCATGTACACAAGCTTTGTAACAGTAAATGACCACCACTGTGTACCCCAGTTGCGCCAAAGCAATTATTAAGTCAACAATGCAAATGAAGTGTTGAAAAGAGCTGCGTGTGTGCTTCTTGGTTGCCCATACGTTCGGACATGCCCACTTGCATACACATACTATTGTCCTGTGTGCAAACCTGTTGTTGAGGATGTCATTGAAGACCTGTTGTCTTTAGAAGATTTCCACCTACACTCTTTCAAAATCAAAACACATGCTCCTGTGGGGTGCACGTGTGTGTGTATGTATGCAGTTGTGTTTTGTTTCTTAAAGGGTGTTGGTGGAAATCTTGTAAAGACAACAGGTCTTCAACAACATGCTCGACAACAGGTTCGCACAAAGGACAATAGAATGTATGTGCATGTGTGTGCGTGTGTGCGTGGTGTGCGCGTGGTGTGTGTGTGGTGTGTGTGTGTGGTGTGTGTGTGTGGTGTGTGTGTGGTGTGTGTGTGTGGTGTGTGTGTGTGTGGTGTGTGTTGTGTGTGTGGTGTGTGTGTGTTGTGTGTGTGTGTGTTGTGTGTGTGTTGTGTGTGTGTGTGTGTTGTGGTGTGTGTGTGTTGTGGTGTGTGTGTGTGTGTTGTGTGTGTGTGTGTTGTGTTGTGTTGTGTGTGTGTGTTGTGTGTGTTGTGTGTGTGTGTTGTGTGTGTGTGTGTGTGTGTTGTGTGGTGTGTGTGTGGTGTGGTGTGTGTGTGCGCGTGCGCGCAAATGTGTGTGTGTGTGTGTGTGCGCGCGCAAATGTGTGTGTGTGTGTGCGCGCGCAAATGTGTGTGTGTGTGCGCGCGCAAATGTGTGTGTGTGTGCGCGCGCAAATGTGTGTGTGTGTGTGTGCGCGCGCAAATGTGTGAACAGCCGAGAAGCAGTTCAGCAAAGTGACTGCCTCGATAGCTGAAAAGAAAGCAGCTGAGTGTATACGAGGAGAGTCAATTGTATCAGGAGTATTTTGTTGTCATTTAGAGAATTAAAACTTATATGATCATGTGTGTTACAAAATTTTGTAATCTAAAGTAGGTGAATTGAGATTTGTGGGGGGAGGGGGGCATTAATTTCTAATAATACCTTGTTTCTGTTAGTGAGCCAATATGGCACATGTTCCAGCCAAAGGGTTATGTCGATGATTCTAGAATACTTCCTATAACAACCCTTTTTTTCCCCAACAGGACCCTCTGGCCTTCACATGCAAAGAGATTTCTAATGCTGCAGTGAAGGTGGAGGAATGCTCAGACGACTCGTGTAAGTAGAAATCTTACGTAATAGGCTTAGGATTTTGAGGCTCTAAAATCTCCCTTTTAGGCATCAAAAGAGGTGCTTCAAAGATGAAAATAGGTGTTATAACTTCTATATTGTTTACTATTTATGTTGATTGTCTGTTAATAAATTCTGTTCTTTTCATTATCATGTGTTTTAAAACAATAAGTAGAATTTTTAAGAATAAGTAATCAGTAAATTGTATTTTGTGTAATGTTAATTATAGAAGTTCAGTTTTAAAAATATAAAACAAGTAATTTCTATAATTAAAATTGCATAAAATTTAATTTGCTGATTATGTATTAAGTCATTCTACTGATTGTCTTAAAATCTAAGATACTGAAAACAATAGAAGTTATTACTTCTTATTTAGGCAGTAAACATTGAGATTAAAATTACTTTTGCGAATACATTTTATTTTATTTCCTAGTGGTTTTATCTCAGATATATTAGTATAAATTTTTTTTAAAAAGTGAAGATGCAAATGGTAAAATATTCTTTCTCTAAAACCCGTGGAAAAAAATTATTTGCCTCGCAATGTGCAGCATTCAAAACAACTACTAAATTATGAGGCTGGAATTTGTGCTTTCTATCACTGAAAATTATTTTATCAGCACAAACTCGTTTCTCTATTTCTAACCTTGTGTTTGGTGCGTGCTTTAATTTTTGAGATAATGAGCAGTGACTGAATTTTGTCATCTCAGAGGCTTCACATGTTAAACGTTTTGTGGCCTGAGCAGTCCATATTGCCATATTTCAAAATTGGGCTGGTATCCATTACAAAGATTTTACTGAAAAATTTGAGACACATTTTGTTGAAGGTACTTTCTAAAAATAAATGAGTTGATAGGTTTTCTTAGCTGTAATGTTAATGTGATCTCCCTGGCTGAGTTTCTCCCATTTGCATTTTACTTTTCTCATATTCCATAAAGCAAATTGTTTCATTTTTTTCCCCCTATATGTCTTAACAGTTGAAAACGCCTGCTTCAGTGTTGATGTTTCTGTTCCGTGTTCTCTGCCTACAGATGGTGAGAGCGTGGCGGTGGAGTCATTAAGCAAAAAGAAAGTGGTGTCTTATGGACACACTCCTCCTTCCATTCCGTGTTTTATGTGCAACAAGATCCTATCAGGTGGGAGATCGCTACGTCGACACATGCAGACTCACACTGGGGAGAAGCCCCATATGTGTTCAATTTGCCTCAAGAGCTTCTCCGAGAAGAAGACAATCAAACTGCACATGCGGACTCACACAGGGGATGTGCCATATCAATGTTCGATTTGCAAGGAAGGCTTTGCAGAACTCGAACATCTGGTTAATCACTTGGAAAGTCATGTGGGAAAAACACATGAGTGTTTTATTTGCAGGGAGGACTTTGAAACAAAATATCGATTGACGCAGCACTTGCGTGTTCACAAGGGAGTGAAATACTCATGTTCTGTTTGCGGCAAGAACTTCGTAGGTAAACGAAATTTGGACCATCATATGCCAGTGCACACAAGGGAGAAACTGTTTGAATGTACTGTGTGCAGGAAGAATTTCAAGAACAGATCTTCATTCACAAAACACATGCAGAAGCACTAGAAGGAGGCGTGATCCTTGGGTTCTGGGGAAAGGAGAACATTGAATGTTCATTCAATAACTGTAAGCATCTACTCTTCGTAGAATATACGTACATACTTGTGTGTCAGGGAAGAAAATATCTGTATTTACTGGGCTGTCCGGGTGACGCCGCGTCCATAGCGAAGGTGCCAACGTTTCGGTCGCCATTCTGCGACCTTCCTCAGAGCGTAATGCATGAGGAAGGTTGCAGAATGGCGACCGAAACGTTGGCATCTTGGCCATGGACGTGGCGTCACCCGGAGAACCTAGTAAATACTGACTCCGGCCGTGGAAGCCTACGCTCTCAAAGGAAATATCTGATGGCGCCCTTTAGACCACTGGCGGATGGGAGGGGGCGCTGCATGGACCCCCCCCCCCCTTGCCACCCAAAAGGCCTAGAGTTTTTTTTGTTTACGTTTTTTATTTGCCAAATTGATTTAAATATATTTTATGTTGAATTCTGAAATTATTTAAACAATAATATCATATAGCATTATATCTACAGTGCTATCAATATGTAATATAATAACAAATATGTTATTATTTCAAAAACTATGATGTCCCCCCCCTCAATGATCAGCTGGATCTGCCCATTTTAGACCACTAGACAATGATATGAAATGTTTTAGACTAAAAACAATGGGAAAGCAGTTTAAATAAATATTTCAGAGGTTTTTCTGTAATTAATTAATATGATGGCAGAAGTTATTATATAAAATTGTACAATATCATAAGGGAACTGGTTTCTAGACAATTGAATACCTTCCCCTTGTAGTCAAAAGGTATGGCTACTTGGTATGTGCATGAAATGCCTGATTTCCTTCTTAAATATGATTTTATAATGCACACTTACTATTTAAATATGATTATTTTTCTCCTCTGTTATGAGGTATTTTGGGAAATTGCTGATAATTCTAAAATTTTGCTTGAAAGCATTCATGGCTCATGTTTATTTCCTATGTTTATTTTTATAATTCATATTATAATTAAAGTTCATATTTTAGTAAATATGCTAATTAATGCCATGAAAAATCATTATCTCTAAAAGATTTGTAAGTGTGCAATTTAAACAACCATGCAATTAAAATTCCACAACCACTAATTAGAATTCAGTATAAGGATCAAAATCGTTTAATTAAGTCACTATAACACAGGCGTGGCCAAGGTATTTCCAGTCGGCCTTGAAACATGAACAAAAATATACATGGCAGATTACATACCTGTGTCAATTTCATATAAACAATGAATAAATAAAATAAAATGGCTGAAGTAAATATTGGCTTGACAACAGCTAACTAATGGCACGACCTGATATATTTAACATGCATAAATTACCATATTTACTTGAGTATAACCTGCATATTTTTTTCAAAAATTGGTAACATTCGAGTAAATGTTGGTATTGCGAACTTGAAATGTGTTGCACGTGGTCACATGGCGGCATGAGTTATACATCGGTTTTTTAATATGACACATCAAGGCCTGTCTTCTCGATGGAATATTTCACAGGATTTCATGTATTGGTTGAGCCACTGGATGTTGCATGACTGCGACTGTATCAAGCACTGCAAAATGCAGTGACATAATGCGTCTGTGAAGACAGGCCTTGAGGCACAACTTTATAAAAATTGCACTCTAACCAGTGTTAATTGGCGGGTCTTTCAAAAACAGGACTTTTTGCAATTAAAATTTAAAACCTTTTTTTTTTTTCCCTGAGATTACTTATTGGAAAAATTAGGGTGCGAGTGATATTCGAGGGTGGGTTATATTTGAGTATATATGGTAAATGTTTTACTTGTAAAACATTTAGTCTTACAGTTAGCAATGATCTTACAAATGTAAAAAATGCAAATGTCAGTTGCGTTCACCTGTTCTAAAAAGTACACCACCAAAACTGAGTCAGAAGTGACTCTTTCTCTTTTTACTTTCCATTACATGTTGTATTCTCTCTCATACCAGTCTTAGCTTTTCTTGGGAAGTAATGTTTTTATGGCTTTGTCAGCTTCTAATATTTCATGTGGAGTAAATTCATTTGTCTTCCATTTGCAAACATATCTTTATCCTAAGTCGCTATGATGATTGTAAGTACACAATGCAAGACCCACTAATGTAGGTCTTTTTCAGAAGCAATACAATGTCATCAAATGCATACCTTGAATAATAAAGATGTGCTTGAATTTCTCAAAATTTAAATTATTCTTAAATGGAAACAAAAATATTGAATATAACATGTGGATAAAGGGGTATAATTGCACTTGTAAACTTGTAATAAGAAAACTTTCCTCTGTCGTCCCTAGTTTTCTTGAACAAAACACTCGCACATTTACATCTGTCTATCCGTTTGTTTTGTTAATTAATATGATTGTGTATTTGTTTCTATATACACAAACTAATATTGAGTTTGTGTATCAGTTGCGTATGACGGGATTGGCAAACTTTTTGTTACTGCAGGCCACAATGTCAAACCCCCTCGCAGGCTGCACATATCTTAAAGTTATTTTTCATTCATCAAATTAAAAATATTAAGATACAATTCAATAATTTTTTAGTACGTCAAAACAAGCTTGGGATTCAGGTACAATAATATAGTACAGTGATATAAGAAATACTTAAAGGGTTCTCTAACTCAGTTTTATTTACAAAAATAATAAATACGAATTCAACTGACAGAGACAAATAAAAATACAAGAACAGTTCTGGAAAGGCCAGTTGGTGCGATGTATCTTGGATGCAGGCTTCAATGCTAAAAAGTCCATGATTGTTTATTTTGCAGTAGACCAATACAAACAGTAGTCTTTTTGGGCTACAAGCAGGCCGCAAGTTGCCAATCACTAATGTATGAAATTTATCAAGTAAATCACTAGAGTTTCAAGGATTAAGGTAGCGGCGTACCTAAGAATAATCTTCTAGAATTTTGGGTCTATTTTGTTTTCCCTTGTACATTTGATTTCTTTATACTTTTAGAGATTAATTAATTTTATAAAAATATTATTTTTTCTATTTCTTTATAAAAAATTGATTTATTTTCTTTTTTAAAAATTAATTACAATTGAATATTCTATAGAATGAACAAGAATGGTAAAGGTACTGTGAAAACTAGTCAGGATTTCGTTATTTGAGAAAAAATAATTGTTTATAAATTAATAAACAATTATTTTTTCTCAAACAACCAAATCCACTGGACATTTCTGTTCATAAAACTGAAACTTTTAGTGACACATTACCTATTGTAGGTCATTCACTAGAGCAAATCATGGCTTACACACTACAAAAACCATTATATTATCTTTTATAGTTTGCTTTATGATGTTTGACTTGCATGAATGTGTGAAAAATTCCCAATTCGGGAAAATGCAAAAAAATTATTTTCTCTAAAATTAAGCAAGAAACATAGAATTCTCAGAAGTGTAGCAAGAAATGGTAGGAAACATTTGAAAGAGAACAAAACAGAGTATTTGACCCAATAAGACTTGAAAAATTCAAAATATCACAATTTGTCATCATTCTCAGGTAGACAACTACCTTAAGTGCCGTCTTGAAAATCAGAAATGCTCATGAACTAATATGCATGACTTGAACTCACACAGATTATGGAGAAGGATGTTCCCCTAAAAATGTGATGGAACAGGATACAACAAGGAACTTTGTTCCATCATGTACCCTTTGCACAGTATGAAAGTGGCTGTGAAGAGGTTCCCGGAATTATGTTCAAGTGTGGATTTAATGCTGATTGTAAAATGTATTCAGCAGCAGACATGTGGAAAAGGAAACTGATTCTACTCTTCCAAACTCTCCATATAGTGACACAGTGCAAGTGCAATATTTTGTGTATTTTGTGTCAAAATTATGAGAAACAGTGTTACAAAGGCTTAATATATTTTATAAGGTAAATATATTTTTGTGCATATTCGCAAAGTTTTTACTTCATAAATACTTACATATTTTATAGATTATTAGTGCATGTAAATCCAGTTCCTAGATGTCATTAAACTAAATTAAGATATATGGTTGAAAAAACTTTTTATTACTTTCGTACAGGAATTACTTGTGTGGTTCCTATTAACTGAACGTGGACAATTAATTCCTCTGGGTTAGTAATAAAAAGTTACTTGTGTCATATAACTTGTCTCATTAATTTCAGTCCACAAGATCTTACCAACAAAAAAAGATCATATTATCCATCTATTCAGTGGGTGAATTTTTGTTGGAAAAAGGTTGCTTCGTCTGCAAGGATTCCAACCTGGAAGAATTTTTTGTTTTTTGCATTACCTAAACAAGTATCATCTGTAAATGGCATATTGAACCATGAAAAAAGAAATGAATAGATGACGTCCCTTGTCTTAAGGGACAGATGATCTAATTCATTGTAGTAGGCAAAATGATCATTTTTCGGTGGAAGAATTCCAATTTCAGATGATTAGCTTTGAGAAGAATAATTCCTGGATAATGTTTCAAGTATTTAGCGAGAAATTAAGAGAAGAGTTTTACAACACTAATTCAGGTATAAAACCATTTATTCAAAATTTGATAATGCACTAAATTTTATTTTTTTACTATACATTTATTTATTTATTATACTGCTCTACAAAACAATATAAGGATTTTACAAATTGAACACGTTACAGTAATCACAGCCGTTGAATATCCTTATTTTATCACATACCCTTTGTTAAATATAAACAGACTAATTGATATTGATTTTGGAATAATTTTTAGATTAGGATTTACTATCTTCATTTTATAAGATTATCATCTGTTCAGAGGTTTTGTCAATCTTTTGTGGTTTTCATTGATTCATGTATGTTATTGTCACCTAAGACTCCATAGAAATTAAATTCTGTGTTGCAAATTATATGTAGTAATTGGAGGCCTTTTTTCGCTTTCTCGGATACGTATGTATATGTGGAATAAGAATGTAACCGTAGAAAATCTCTAAATATCTACAGTATAAGACAATATTTTAGGGTCCATTTTTGCATAAAATACATGCCTTTTAATATGTGTTAAAGTAATTAGTACATACATATTTTTATTTGTATTTCTTTTTTTAAGTCCATTTTCTTCAGTTTGGTTTCCTTGTGGCTTGGTTCCTTTCTGCATAATGAGGACCAATTGTGCAATAAATCTCTTAATCTCTACGAAATGTTAAATTCATGATGGGTTACTGCATTTTTTATAATTGGTGAATAATAAATGAAAATGATCAAATGTGTAACCTTCTGTATTTGATTCATACAAAATATACATGAAGTGGATTGATACAAAAAGGTTGGTGTTGAAGCCTTTTGTACAAAAAATGCAGTCTTATTTTCAACTAAATTAATTACAAAACTGTATGTGTAGCTACATTAGATAGTACAAAGATTCATCACAGATAATTGAATAGCATTATATTGCCATTTGATATGTGAAGATATTAGATATTTCACTTAAGTCAAAGTGGGAGCAAGTAATAACTGTGTAGCAGAGAACAAATAAAAAAAATTAGCTTCAGGTAATTCAAATTTCATAATGACAAACAATATTGGCTGATACATTCTCACAGATTCACTCTTGTGTGTGAATTAGCAACACATCTCACTCAATAAAAAAGGTTGATGGATTTTCACATCAAAATTGCATAAATAGAAAAATGCTATTAAATCAATTAGTTTTCTCTGCACAGTGGGTCTTACCAAAGATGGAAATGTTATGCAAATGTCTTCATAAGTCAGGTCACACTGTAACAACATAGTTAAATAAATAAACAACTTTATTAAAAAACACAAACATACACCCACATCTCTATTTCTAAGCAAGATACTCTATTCAAGAATAAAGATAAAATTGTAGAAGTTTTGTGCTCACAAAATTATTGATAGAATCTGAATAACTTGCAAACACTTCCATTAATTTGTTAACAATATAAAATAGCTGCATTTTCGGAACACTGACAATCCGTGAAGTTTTAAATTTGCTCATATAAAAAAACTTATGATTTGAATTTAAATTCTAAAAATTGCTCCTGTTCATGATAATGTCATTTCTTTCACTAGTAAGTAAAATTAGAAAATTTCAGTAACTCAGTGTTACAAATAGAAGCCCGTATTCCAAACTAATTGGAGGTGCAACCTGTTTGGATTCGGAAATGTTCAGAATATCCAATAAACTGTTACAGGACATTTAAATATATCAATGGGATTACCAGACACAAGGCAACATAGAGTAGTGATCACATCTTCAATCAGATTCAATTCCTTGCAACAAAAGATGATTTACCGATTTTGCAAGTTCCTTCAAGTTAAATTACTGCTACATAATCGTGATATACGTCGTAGTTAGCACTCGATAAACGCTTCATTTCGACAACTTGTGTTTCAATTATAATTAGTTGTTCGGTTTTACAGTAATTGTAAAATCCTTTCTTTACTCTACAAATAAGCATTTTATTTATTTTTATTCCCAAATTTTGTTCGGATTATCTGAAATTTCTAATTTGCGACGTTCTACTGTATATTCCCTTACCTCGAAAAGTCTGCTCTTCTATAATTTGCACATGTTGGAGGACAACGTGACAGTGTTTGAGAGTCTCTTGTACATCGTTCATAACTGGAATAGAAAATATTGTATTAATGGTGTACTTCAATATTTTTAAATTGTATTTAAAATTTCCTTTTTTAGTTAAGTAATTTTCTTGCAAAGGATCTGTTATTTGAGGTAATTCAATTAATTAAATCATTGTTGAGCTTCAGAATTTGGAAAGCATTGAATGTATATAATTAAAATGGAGACAGTGGAAACAAAATATTTAAAGATTAATGTATGCACATGTGTAAATTATGTAACAAATAAGGAAAAGTCTGCTTATTTAACATCAACAGTTAAAAACTGTGACATACTAGACTGGTGAAGTGTAATCTGTCTAAGTTTCTTTGAGTTTCAAAATTTTTTACTTTTGCTATAATGTGTTTAATTTGAATGAAGATTATGCTAATTTCATTAGTAAAAATGATTACTCAATTTACCATAATGTTTCTTCGTTTTGGAAATTTACTAATTCAATGCGAGGCCTGAATAGATTACTAAATGTTATGTTTATAGATGATAAAAGCTGAATCTGGTCAAATGATTGTTGATGTATTTGCTGATTATTTTTTATCGGTTTATTCAATAGAATCTTCCATAGTGAGCTTTGATGATAATCGTGCGAATTGTTTTACTGATGGTTTAACTAATATAGGATATATTTCAATATCCCAATGTGATGTGTTTAATGCATTAGGTAAACTTGATAATAGTTATAGCTCAGGACCAGACGGTATTCCACCCCTCTTTTTGAAAAATTGTAAATCGAATATAACACCTATTCTTCATTTTTAGTTGTTAAATCTATGCAAGAAGGTTCTATTCTGGACATTTGGAAAAGAAGTTTTGTAATTCCCGTATTTAAATCCGATAATCACTCCAATATTAAAAACTATAGGCCAAGTTACTATAGTTACTAGATTATATAATCACGGATAATTTCAAATTGAAAATTTGCTCATTGAAGAACAACATGGCTTCAGATCAAGAAGATCTACTGTAACAAATCTACTTATTTTTCAACATTTTATTGATAAATTGGAAGCAAATTCTCAGGTCGATGTGGTTTACACTGATTTTACTAAAGCATTTGATAAAATAAATCATCGTACCTTCTTGAAATGGATTAAATGTTTTTTAGTTGGGCGAATTCAAAACGTTAATGCTAATTTTATCATTGGTATCTTCACTTTCTTAACATATTTGAGGTATCAGTTGAGTCAAGTATAATGAATTATAATATACAATTAAAATAAATTGTGTTGTCAAAATGACACCCTTCACCCATTAAATTAAATGTAATTAAATTGACCATGTTAATTGATTCGACATAACTTCTCTGCTAATAATGATGGTATTAATTAATAATCATAAGAAGAAGAAATATGAACAATTCATAAATTTCAACTTGCTGTGTTTTGTCACTAAAAGCAAAAATGTGATGTGGCAAGTGTTCAATCAGTGAGTGTGTTCCTTCTGAGTATAATCTAGATTTTGTGGTTGCCCTTTCTTGCATTCTTATACATTGCGGTAATGGATGAAAACCCTTAAGGAATTAAACATCTCAGATCCTAATATCGCTTCAGCAGCTAGACTTTTCACTTGTGAATAAAATCTAATTTAATTATCTATAACTATAAATTAATTAGGCAATTTTAAGTTCTTACCATTCATATAAACAGCATCCATAAATAAGAAGTCCAACTGCTACGAGAACTAATAGGACAATTATTGCTATTCCAGCCCAACCAAGAGACAGAAAAACTGTATCAGCCTCTTTCATCACTCCAACTATGGAAAGAAAAAGCTGTTTGTAAACATTACAGCAAATTATTGGATGAAAAATGGTTATGATAAGTTTTTTTATTATACTTCACAAGCACAAGTTTGTTGTGACCTCGTTGAAAATGTATGGATTATGCACTTGCAAAGAGGATTCCAAATATTTGTTTTCTAACTGGCAATGAAACAATAAAAACATATTTTCTTAATTGGTCTTTTGTTTAAAAATAAAGATTTTACATGTTGGATTTTAGTAAAGAGTTGTATTTAGCCCCAAAATTCACAAATAATAGGCAAAATGTATCTTGATTTACACGTTATCAAACGATTAAATGTTTATTTCTCCTTTATTTTTGCATCCATAAAAGAATTATATTTTGTTAATTTAAAATAAATTTCTGCTAGCTGTCCTCATTCTGGTATTGAAATTGGATAAACTGTATTTTCTCAAATGTAAGCTGTTCTTGCTGACGATGTATGTTGCAGGAAATTAGCAGTTTTGAAACAACTTTATTGCAATGAATAATAGGAAGAATTCAATAGTCAAGAAATTTGTTTTCCAAAATGTTAATCCAAAAAACACAGCAGGTAATATGTGTTGGAGACCTGTATTTGAGAAAAAATGAATGATATAAAATCCAGTAAATGAATGAATGAATTTAATTAAATACCTGATATGTCTTTACCAACAAGGCTGTCGAGAAGAACTGTAATGTTCACTGTATTAACACAGTCCTGAGTCACTTCATTCCATTCATGAAATCTAGTAAAAGAAATTGTGATTAAAATAATTAAAACTCAATATCAACCATAATAATCATTACAACTTCATTAGCTCTTCAAATATTAACACTTCTGCTTCCAAGAGGGATTTGAATTCGTTTTAATTTCCTCTCAATTGTTTCAAAATAAAAGGATACGTCTATTTTGAGCCTGTGAACAAAATGCTATTTACCAAAATAAAATTAACCAATTATATTGTAGTGTATTCCACATCATTCTTGCATGGTACCCTTCAACTTCCCTTGTTTTTTCATGCAATGAAAATTTGAAAATGTCAACCAGAGTATCTTTTTGTGTGTATTGAATGTATCTCATAGAAATTAATTTAGTTTATTTTTAAGATGAGGATATTTATTATTAGTTTCACAGTTGTACAAAGTTTTCTTGTAAATTTTGGTGGAGTTATTGCATTACATGTTTTGGTAACTAAAAAACGAAAAAAGAAAAGGAAAAACTTGGTGACAGAAGGGTTAATAAATGCAACTTTAATTTACCATTTTATTTTTCCTACGATTATTGTCACCATCTTTATTATTAATATATAAAAGTTCAGTTTCAGTGAACTCTTACTTGTCACAACGACACGTTTTTCTGGTGTTGTTGTTTTCTGTGGTTTCTTCCTGGCAGGACATTCTGTGGTCTACGCATTGTTCATCATAATAGCAGCCCTCCCCGTATTTTCGAACTGTGAAAAATATTTCCATCAACACACATCTTTACAATTGGAGGACTTGGCTCCAGATAGTTAGGTGCCACATCTGATGTGTTCCTTGTGATAAGCAAAAGGAGGAAGGTTTCAAACCAACGTTCCTTGTCACAGAATCGTAACACCTTACCACATAACTCACACAAAATGTAATAATCGATACAGCGAGTACATTAGTAGTATTATCTTATTTTTGTTGAAAATGTGGCATAGAACTATTTTAGAACCAAACCCTTTAATTATTGTGGTTGTTAATGTACGTACATGTTAAATACATTAAAGAGCATCTATATAATTCATTCAATTCAATTATAATTCTTTAATGAAATTGTAAAATAGAGTAAAAGTTCAGAACAGTAAAATAACTGATGACTTAAAAAAGGTTTTGCAAGTTTTTCAGACAGCTTAAATAGTAGAGAAACATTTAAAAAAATAAAACTTTCTAAATTGTGTAGTGACATTTCATTCCTCATCTACTGTACAGTCTGTTAGCAGAGAGTCACCTAGCATAAGTTGTGACCATGACATTGTTTATTAGGTAGGTTAATTGATGTGTTTATTTGATAAATAAAAATTATATAAAAGTCATGTCCTTCCGCAGCTTGAGCTAAAGTGAACAGAGGTCTGGAAGTGAAATGTTTTTTGTCAGGGGCCACAAAAGGCATGGGCAAACCCAAAATCACTGTGGGAATCAGAGGAGGAATTTTTAGGTTTTACTGCTGAAGAAGAGGCAACTCTGTTAAACAACTTGACAACACTGTTGCGTGGGAAGCGAGAGGACAGTTGAACAATGCTAGAGAGACCAGGCATGTTTTCAGTTCTCTGTAAAATTAATGTGGAGTAATGTTTATTTAATATTGTATGGTTTAATACTAATGTCGTTTTTTGTCTAAAGTGAAGTGTTTGATTCAATACCGCCTTTCACATTACCATGGTCCAAAAATTGGGGATGGCCACATGCTTAATAATATTTAGAAATACTAAAAAGTAATATTGCATGAACAAGAGAGAGAACTGTTTTGCAAGTAGAAACTTAAAAATTTTAATCATCGGTATGAATATTAATGTAGGTAACTACTTTGTATTCAGTAACAAAAGGTAATTTTTTATTGAGTTAACAACCAAGTTGAAATATAATTTTCAAGAAAGTTTACTTCTGTCAAGAGGAATTGAGTTTGATCATTGGAAGTTATTTTTCATTAGAAAAAAAGAAAGAAAGAAAAAGAAAAAAAGTTGATTTTAAGTAAGTTTAAGTTTTAAGTTAATTTTAAGAATTCTGGTATTTGGCAGTTCTTAATGTGAGGGAAGGGAGAGAAAACTGAATCTGTTTTACAAAGGCTTAAAGTTGCCCAAAACAGCCTTAGAATTAACCTTGATAACCAACATGAACGTAATAGTACTTATTTTCAAAAAAGCATTCAGAAGGCCATTTTTATTTGATTTTATATTTTCAGCAAAGATTGGAATGACAGACGATAAATATTATGGTTATTGGTCTACATTGTTTGTTTAAAGCAACACTATTTATTTGTCCAGAGAAAAGTATTTTTACTAATCCCGTGTGATGTTAGGCTCAAAAAAACATGCGTGGTTTAGCCAATTTAACATTAGCTTCTTTGTGTTGGTGACCGTTCTTTCATATAAAATATCTTTAATTAATCATTTTATTTCTATTTTTATTTGTGCCTACTGGAGACCAAAATTGCTTTCAAAACAACATTATTTCCGATTATCAGAAGATGTATTACACGTATGCAGTAGACAGGGCCATATCAATGCCTAACAGTGTACTCAACTACATTACAACAACACTAATACCTAAGCATGGCTATGGGCCTCCTAAGAATATTGAAATACTGAACTAGTTAACAAAATGAATGTGTATTACTACTTTGAAATGCTTGCAGAAATTGAAAGAAAACTGCATCTTCCAGCCCTTTGAGAGGTGACTTCTCCTGAAGAATAAGAACCCGTGAAAATTCAAAAACAACTGTATTACTAATTTCTAATCTGCGCAGAAATTGAAAGAAAACTCTGCAGCCTACTGTGTTTTGAGACAAGTCTGTAGTTTAATTTCTGGGAGTGGGTTTAAACTACACCAACAGGTCAAACATACATCACTGTAGATCCAAGAACTACCACCTTTCCCTTCTTGTTTTTTAAAACAAAGAGAAAAGAGTGTGGGGGGGGGGACCAAAAATATATAAATAAACAGAATCGACTGTTTTACAAAAAATGTGTACAAATATTTTTGTGACATTCCAGGGAAACAAGAAAGAAGAAGAAAAACAAAATTATAGGGTTTATGTCAGTCATTGAAAATATTGGACAAAATCGAATGAAATAGAAATATAACTGAGAGACAAATCTACAATTAAATCATTTATGCAAATGCTTGTAATGTTTATTATCAGTGCCAGACCTATAAAATATTTTGGGCCAGGTGCAATGCTGAAACCTAGCCCCCCCCCCCCTCCCCCATTTAAAATTGTGAAAGTTGTATCAAGAAATTATATGAGTTTTTGATTTATTTAAAAAACTAACAAATATTACATTCAAACTGGAAAATGTGTTTAGAAATATATTTTCATTAATAGTTTTTGTAAAAGTATTTAGTGATCAAATTATACAATTTTTTATGGTGATCTTATAATGCTAAAAATGTTTGTCGTGTTTAGTTAGAGTTTAATTAAATTACTTGTTAAATGCATGAAATAATTAATATGAACTTCAGTAAAACTTATTTTAAAGTTATGGCATTTGATTCATTTCACAGAGTCCTACCTTATAAGAAATGACTGTAATTATCTATTAAATGTAAAATATTAATTGAAAATTTCATGAAATATCATACTACTGTACCACGACTTATAAAATTATATTAACGATTTTTTCGAGTTCTAGTTTCTTTTTCAATTATTTTACAATTGTTTTCCGCATTAGTTCTGCCATTGGGCCCCGGGCCATCAGTTGGTCTGCCCATGCCTAGTGCCGCCACTGTATTATTTTATTTGGTCTTAGTTTGTTCCTCAAGGGGAAACTGCTGGAACCCCAACCACACCATGCACAATTCCTTTGTGTTCAATTTGACAACATGCACAACACCATGCAGCAATGCAAATGTTTTGAAACCTGGAAAGCAATTCCGAGATTCTCGTATGTAGCCAGGATCACAAACACAGTAGCCAACATAACAGTTTTGATGGATACCACAAGGTCTGTCTTTTGAACATTCATGGCCTATAGAGGAAAACATTCTTTTAATATTTCCAGAGGAATGTGGTCAAGTTTTTCTTTCAATATAATATTTCAGTTTTTGAAAATTGTTGAAAATAAAATTATGTAGAAGAATTCCAAAATCAGAAATGACAAAAACATTGATTGTATTAAATGTCTATTAATTTGATATTTAGAACAGTGCCAATTGACTCGTATTAAAAAACATAAAATTATTAGCTCTTAAAGTATTTATGCAAGGATATAAAAATCTTTGGTTTCTTGGGACTTGATATCTCTTAAAAATTAAAAGTTTGTTTGACATTGTCTTTATAATAAGTATACAGACAGTTTCCAGAAGGAATCATAATACAGTTATCAAATTCCTCTTTTTCTTCTCTTTCCTTGTTTTCTAAGGGAGCGTTTTAACTTTAGTTTCAAAATTTCATAAACTGAAAAAGCAATAAAAAATAAAATCTATGGGGAACAGATGATAGAACAGAAATGTTTATTACTATACTGGGACATGAAAATAGGAATTTAAAAAAACTGATTTTATTTTATGAAGTTGCATATTATAAAAAATGTATCTCTGTTTTTTTGACCTCTAAAAATGTAACTTTCTTTTGTATTTTGGGGACTAGGAGAGAGAATATGTAATACAACTACATAAGTAATAATTTCAAACCACTCTTGTGAGCTCAATTACTACCAAACTGATTAACATGAAACTCACTCATAACATATTTAAACAAGACTAATACTCACCGTGCTGTGCTGATAATAAAGAAATATGAAAAATAAGAACCAATAGCACTGAAGAGAAGTGAGCCATGTTTAGTTTAGACATTGTTTTTGTCACATTGTAGTTCTGAAAAAAGAAATTGTGAAAGGGAATAAATGAAGCAGAAAATATCAAAACATTGTGAGGAGCATTGTAAATTAAGGAAATTCCTCTTATCCCTTAAAAGAAAAGTTCTAATCTGAGGTTGATATTTCTTTAAAATGAATGAGGATTAATTAATTAGTTAATATTCATCCTTTTGAAAATCGTAAGGTACTTTAAAATAAGAAAAAATGCATTGCTTAATGACTAACGAAATAAACATTATATTAGCAATAAGTGGCAATCTTGCTCTCTTGTTAGTTCAGGAAAAAATAGAATGTTGAAATGTGAAATACATGAAGTATTAAAACAGTATAATTTGCTTCACTAAATTAATAAAATTTAGAATAGGTAACAAAAAATATGATTATGTAATGAGATAATGAAATAAGAATTGGAATCATTAACCTATTTTTTGCTTATATAATTTTTTTATTATGATAGTATTTTTCTCACCCATTTTCTTTTTGTATTTTTTACCCATCATGGCATCATTTCACTTGAAATTTAAAATGAATGCTTGTATTATGACATTAAAATTACTACTATTACTAATAATAATAATAATATTACTAGTGTAATATCAATCTAGCTAATCTGATAAAATAAATTAAATATAATACAGTGACCTGCAAACATGAATTTACAAATTAAGTTTCATATCAAAGAAAATGATGACCATATTGTTCCATGAAACATTTAAATGTATCAGAGTGATAAGAACTTCATAGAACTAACTCCATTCACACCTCATCCAACTTTGCTTTTAGCTCATTGCCCCTCACTCACATTTTATCTGGTTGGATCTTGCATGAAACGATATCACTTAATCTTTTAGTGGGTGTCTCATACATAAATCTATAGAAGCCACTTTCTACTCTTTACCTGTTACAACCTACTCCCTCCCACACATCGAAATTCAATATCAACTCATACAAGTGGGTATTGATTTCAAGGGCTCTTGAAAATGGGTAAACATTCACTTCAATCAATAACTTCCCACTCATGAGGCTGAAAACCTCAAAGCCCCTGTAAATGTGTAGCACTGTTCAATGCACTACAAATGCAATTCCTAATTCACTGCACACTACAAAGGAACACTTTGGAAAATATATTTGTTGCATTACCTAAATTTATAAAAAGTCAATTAAGTTTTTAAGCAATTAGTATTTCATGAAACTCCACCCTGCTGCATTGCCTGCAATTTAAAGTAGTGATTTAGCTAGAGGAAAAAAAATTGCCTGCAGTTCTGTATGGTAAATTCCTGACAGTCATGCAACGTGCCTTATCAATCATGCGATCGAGTAATTAAGTTCAAAAGGTTGAAAATAAAACACTTTTATCTGAGCCACTTGACTACAAGTGCCCCAGGGACATGAGCTGCATGAATATGAAGGAGTAGTTTACTGGGAACACTTCATAGGAATATTCTCTGGGTGTACATTAAGGATATACAACATCCGTATTCCATTCATGTGGAAACATTGCAGCATGAAATAAAGTCATGTTGTTATTCAAAAATTTTTGTTTCTGTGTAATTAAATCTTTTGTCATAGTAAGTGAAATATTTTGAAATGTAATATTGATATGTACAACACTTAAAACAGAGACATAATTTATTATTGTTTTTTTACAAATTTGATACTAAATTATTGTTATTCTTGAGTGCAGTCAGTCTCCAAATAGTTTGACTGCAAAGCTAGTATTATCAATATTTTGCTTTTTGTTAATTTTTATTTCATGTCATTATCACATGCTATGAAGTTCATTCAATTATTATAATTCAATCAATTAATTTTATATTAAGAAGGCATGCTTTATACAAGCCTGTGTTAATTTAAATATTTTTTAGATAAATTCTGTGCTATTTAGTGATTTAATTGAGAGTTAATTTACATGATAATTGTGTTCACATCTTCTAGGTTACCAGTATACAGGTGTTTCAAAAACATTTTAGTATTTGCAATTGTTTAAAAAATATTTTCATCCAAAAGGAAACTAATGCTGTCATTACAATCCACATGTATTATTTTTTACTTAATTTTTTGTTCTAAAGAAGTAATAAACTAGTTTCAAAAAAGGATTTCATTAATGAAACATTAAGAAGCCGTGATCTGATCTAATATTGTAATTAAACATTGAAGAATATTTAGGTCTAAATAATCTTTTTATATTTATACATGGTGCATGAAAATAGTTACAAAGAAATTGAGTTAGAATTATCTTAATATATGCAAATCACTCCTTATTTAGAAAACATTAACAAACTATAACTTAGTTCAGAAGGAAGAAAAACGTTGTTATACGTTAATCAAATAAGATTAAATAAATGATGTGAACTTTCATTGAACTTACACAGTTAAGCCTAACAAGTAATTTTATAATATTCTATTTACTTGTTATTTCAAAAGGACTGATATTATTATAATTATTGTTATTATTTTAAGTTTATCAAAGTCAATGAAATAAAAAATATAAAAAGTCAGTTAACTTACTAAAAGGTGTGTAAGAAGACAAACTGGTAACTTTGGAAGCAGTCGAGTGACTGCTCCAACCTCAAGCAACCTGCACACTAACGACATTCATCACTGGCTGTGACCAGGAGGGAAGGGTGGCCAGTTGAACGGTGAGCTGTGCCAGAAAAAACCTTGGCACCTCCGTGATGACAGTCACCCTTCCCCCAGCCTCCCCAGAGGTTTGTTTTTTCTCAATCTGTACAGGTATCTCACACTTAAATCAAACAAGTACAAAGCTTTTTACTGATGCCTAAAACTGTAACTTATTTTTATTTTTCTTCTTCTTCTTCTGGATGTTTTCCCAGAATGTGGTGAATAACGAACTTGGAAAAAGAGAGAGAGGGAAGTTAGTTGGGAAGAGAAAGATCTGTGATCAGGAGCCAGAAATATAGCATTGGTATGAATAAAATTCTCTGGTTAGACTGCTGAACTGTTCTCCCAAATTTCTTGGACCTTTGCCACGTGTCTGCCTCTGGTCCCACTGCTTCAAAGCCAAAGAAAAATAAACACTCTGAATGTGAATTCTCTCTCAGACTTTTTGTCTTGTATTTTTTTACATGTCAGGTGGTAATGAGCTAAAGATGCATTCCAATAATTTGATAAAATAATTGATAATAATGAAAGTAATTAATTGAATTATTATCACTTTCAAAATAATGTAGATTCCAAGATAATTGTTTTGAGCTCATAAATGCTCTTGAGTGACATTCAATGCATGTATACCTGGAAGATCATCCTTAATGTTTAGGAAAAAGTGAAAATAAAGAAGGATGTTTTTTTCTCTAGAAGTCATTTACTTAAATAAAAATATAACTATCAAGAAATGGTCATTAGTCTTCACTAATTTAGGCCCCTCAGTTCACTAATACAGGTTGTCAGAGTTTTCCTAAGAACTTAATATCTTATAAATTTATTAATTAAATTAAGGAACACAAGAAATTACCATGAATGTAATACTTCAATTAAAAACAAAATTATGATTTATCAGCTGAAGAAACTTATTTAAAAAAATTATGGTTATGCTAGATAATATTCTTGCATCAAAACACCTTGGGAATTACTACCAAAAAAGCATTAATGGATCAAAATAATCCAATGCTATTTTCTTCTGCCAGAAAAGAGTACTAAAGCACAAATATGTTTGTTCAGAGGGTATTTGTTTTGGCTATATCCTAACACAAAGTCTCCGGCAAGCGGCAGAGACAATAAACAACTAGTGATGCAGGGAGTTGAAAGGTGCCTGTTATCACATAAACATCATTTACTCAAAATCAGGATAACTAATTTACACCATCAGTAACTTTCCCTGTTACAAATGCAGTTCTCTCTAAACTTTTCTGCAATATCATACAATAGCAACTATTTGGAAGAAATAATAAACAACAAACTTCAGACATGACAAAACAAAAGATTATGTAATCATTTATATAATAGGTCATTAGATTAAATCATAAAATTGGATAAGTGAAACGAAATTTTAGAACACCAATTTCAAGAAACAAATCTGAAGATGCAAGATAGTATGTAAATGTAATATTCAGTGAGAAAATGTCAGAAAAGTTAAATAATATTTTTTTAGTTAATTTGTGATTAATAGATGTAAGCAACTGGACAGTGAAATAAACATATAATAACAAAACAGCAGGGAAAGAAAATGGATTCTAATTGGGTACTGACAAAGATTTGCGAAATCATAATTTTCTCAACTTACTTTTTTTAGGTGCACCTGCCGCTCAAGATATTCTTGAATGAAGTTGGAGCATAGAAAGGGAAGATTAAGATCAAGTAGGTTATCTCATTCTCTTATTCAGGTCATTGTTAAATGAAATTGGGCATGCACTTTCAGCCACTTATACTTCAATTTTGTTCAACTAGTAAACAAACTCATGTTTATTAAAATGAAGTAGAAAAGCAATAAATACTCTGTCAAAACATAGATCAAAGGAAAATAAACATGTTTTAAGACAAACAAGTTCTGTTTGTAACAATTTTTCATATTAATTCATCCACAATAAAAATGTTTTAAATTAGATATAAATTTCTTTCGTCTCTAGAAACATAGATTAATACAAAATAAACATATCTGAACACAAACATGTGTTGATGTATTTTTTCAACGACTCTTCATTCATAATCTAGTAATGGTATTCGTGACAGAGGGTAATACACTTTAGCATGTCCCTGCATCCATTAAATGCAAGAAGCCTAGAAATGAATTGGGGATATGGGTGGCACTGACCCGTCTACACAGTGAGGGGGGTGGGGGGCAATGGTATTTCCCTCACTATTGGCAAAATGACAAACATGCCTACCGGGAAGAGTTTATTTGGAAGAAAGCCAGAATTTTCTGTGACATGTTTCACATGTCTTAAAAGACAAATTTCAACTGTTGCATAGTGCAAGTACTGTTGCCTAACCATCAAAGCATAAATTATAGTCAACCTTCATATTTTAATTCTATTGAATTTGACCCAAGCATAGAAACAGATGTAATAAAAATGTTGAGGAATTCAACAAATATATATTTTTAATAATGTACTTTGGTGGTATTATTAGCTTCAGTATCTTTCTTCTTCATCTTATGAAATTGTTTTTAGAAAATACATTTTTTTTAAATTGCATTGTATATGATTGTAAAATAAAAGCAAATGGTTATGAGTAAAAAAATTCCCATGCATTCTTTTAACAATTCATACAACGTCTTTTAAACAGCAACACTAAATCTCTGTTGAATATTTAGAAACCTGGTTCCAAAACAACATTGAGCTTTGTGGGGTGGGGTTTAGGATACTAAAAATATCTGATTCCAACACAATCACATGTGAAGTCTTGGCTGTCAGCCAGACAGGTCTCTGCAATAAAGGGACCACTGAAGAAGAAACAATCACATCCTGTTTAACATGGCTAAGCGTAACTGAGAAGTCAACATTAAAGGAACCAGTGAATTATAGGCTAACAAAGTCTTTTTGAACTTAAACAACCGTATAATACAGTATACTCTTTTTTAACAAGCTAAAACAGTATTTTTATGCCTGCTATGTAAGAAATGTTAGTTTTCTTAACTATCTAAATTTTATCACAGACCACCCACATTAATAAAATATTTTAAATAAATATTTTTTTGTATAATGAAAATCAGTTTTCATTTCATTGCAATTCATAAATAAAAAAAATGTATGTGATATTCCATGCATGCCTAATTAATACATTTTTGCTTAAAAAGTAAATGGGAAGTTATTTGATGGAAGATTGCCCAATTCAAATTGTTAAATTGTAGTTAAATAATATCTGAAATATTCAACAGAGGATTTTTTAAAATCAGGTGGAAACATGCCCTGAATTATTGTTAGATTCTGTTATGTTCACTTTACAATAAAATAAATACACTTCATTAAATTGACTTATGAATGTTTTTAATAATCAGAGTATTAAGAAGAGATTAATGTTATAATTGATCAACATTAAGAAGACAAAAATAGATAGAGTCCTTACCTCCATCTGGCCCTTAGCAGGTGTAACGTGTAGTGTGAAAGTAGAAACGGGAGAAAAAGCAGAAAACATTATTAAAATGTGCTATTTTTTATTTATATATTATTATCTTATCGTAACAATTCAGATACCTATTTTCTTAACTAATTAAGCTGTTCATTTCCCAAGGATTCTAATAAAATAGTTGCATTAATATTGTATTTGAAACCAATAATATTGAAAATGCTATGAAATCATTGTAAGAATATATTTTTTTAAAAAAATAAATTGCTTTTGTTATATATTTATTTTTTTATTAATTAGAATGAAGATAATTAAAAATAAACCTTAAGAAAGAAAATAGTATCTTATAGTGGATCTGTATAATACCTCTTAATTTCAATGCCTCAATCCTCCCAGGATCTGTGACTCACTTCAAGCCAGATCCCCCTTAGTTCAGTATCTGAGGAATCTATTTTTATCTTCCATCTCTCTATCTCTCTCTGTGTCGCTCCATAAATATAAATTGGTTACATTTCCTGGGGGACATGGAGTGGTAAACTAGACCTCTGCCAGATATAGAAGATGGATAAACATCTGAAATTAAGCAGCAGTCTAGTGGAATCAGTGTGCATGATATACAGAAATTTGTTTCTTTCTTGAAATGATTTTGAACAATTTCTATATGCTGTGCATGATAAAAAATGTGTGAATCATGTTTCATTTCATGTAAATTGTCTCTAAAGGAAAAAGTATTTAAAAAATGTATTAAAAGTCAATGAAAATGTTCTTTAACATTAAAGACTTCAAAGAAGTGGAGCCAATTGTAATTTCGATTGTTATCAAGAAATCTGTACTCCATCTCCAAGAATATCTGGCTCCACTTCTTTGAAGTCTTTAATGTTAAAGAACATTTTCATTAACTTTCATTTCTGATCCATTTCTAACATTCATTCCTGACCTAAAAAATGTACATAGAGGATTTTTTCTTTTAAAAGTATCAATAATTTTAAGAGCAAACAAAATTTTTCTGACAAAGTAATTGCTTATTTCCAGTAGGTGCAAAGAATGATAAATTTCAGTTATGAATCATTGAAAAACAGTGCAAGTAGTTTATTTCTAAAAACTTTGTTAACGGGTATTTCTTTTAATAATATTACTAATATGCAGACTTATTTACAATGTCAATAAATGTCAACAACAGTTGCAAGATAAAGCAAAGCAAAGAGAGAAATAAAATAGAGGCCCAAAATTGCTGATCAAATGCAACAAGAAGTTAAAAGCCACATATCATGTGTGACATGGATGAATGTGATTCAGTAGACATCTGAGAACAGCAAAAACACATTTACATACCAAAGGCAACAATGAGTGTACAGAATTCTAGTGTGACCTTGGAGAAATTGAGAAAGATGATTAACAGCTGACTCACTTGTGATGTCACAAGTGTGGTACCAATGAAATATCACTGCCTCCTTCCCATTTCTGTTTTCACTTGCCAAAGATCTGCGTGTGCAATATTACCCAAGTCATTCTGTACAGACAGACAGATTCAGTCAAAGGTGTGATATATAAATCTTGTTGAATTTATAAACAAAAGGGCAGTACTCAGAGCTATGAACTATGTACAAGTGATTTCTTTGATAACTGAAAAATATGATTTTTCTTTTTATTGAAAAAAGGTGTTAGGGAAAATACATTCATGTTAGGTGATATGTTTGTGTTTTCATTAAAAATATCTTTAGATCAAATTCTACTAGCAGTAAATTATTTTCAAACATTGATAAAACAAAACATTACCATTAAAAGAAGTGCAATAAAATTATATTTTTGCTGGTAAATTATTGGTATAAACAGAATAATTGCAAAAATCATGTATTTATTTTGATGAAATGCTTAGTAATAATAAATTCTACATTACGACTTCTCCAAGTTAAGTGGAATTAATTATCACTTCTTAAAGTATAAGTAGTGGCTTAACATTTCATTTTTAGGCAAATTAAATGTCACACGATGAACCAACTGAAATTGGTCATGGATGTTGAGGTCTTTCAACACTGATTTCACGCATTTATGCATGTGAAAGGCACTCCCAACATTTAGAATGCCTCAGGTTTAAATATATGAGCAACGTGTCAAGACGATGTTTGGATGCCTGCCAGTGGCAACCAAAAAGAAACTTAGGAATTCAGATGTGACACAAAATTTATAGTTATAGCACCAGCATCTGCTGCTTCTAAAATGGTGTGTTTCAAGTATCACTCATCAAACAGCACAAGAGGTTCATTAACTAAAAAAAAAAAGAAACACAAATGTAAAACCTTGTTTTTACTGATTATGATACATGTTAGAAAGTGTTTGGAGTATTTGGACATGAATATTAACTTAAGGAGTAAAGGTCTTTGATTTTGCGTATAAAATTATCTTGCATTGCAACATTTTCTTATTATTTTGAAAAAGACAAATCGAAACGTATTTGACATTTTTCTGCTTTAACAGGAATGTACAAAGATAAGGAAATGGCAATACATGTCCATCATGCTTATCTAATCAGAAGAAACATATGCTGTTTATGAAGCTATCAAGTAAACATACTCCAACACAAATGCAGCTCAGTTAACATTACTGAAAAGTCTTTTACAATTCCAAACATGTAAGAGTGCCGAAGCAACTACTCAGCTTTAATTTACTTCTAATATAATAATTTAATATTTTCATTAATTTTATGATGTATCAAAGATTATAGGAAGGATTTTACAGGCAACAATGTATTAAACTTATATCATTTGAAAAAAAATATACAGATTTATTGCAATATACATTTATATCTCTTACATAAATAAAATTTAGTGAAAATGATTGATTGCAGTCACATATGCAGAACACTGAAAATTTTCTTATAGTTATCTCTGGTGTCACAACCAAATTCTACAAACTTCATTTCATGTTTTTTTACCTACCTCCTTTGAAATTAATTATACTTCAAGACAACTTTCAAAATTGGAGGCTTTTGTATTCACAGACAGGAAATAAAACTTAAATATAATAACAGCAAAATCTCAAAGTAAAAAATGTATAGATAAAAAACTACACAATTCTGTCATTAATATACTTGATTTTTAGTTCCTTGCGAACTCTGAAGTACCAAATTATTACTTGATACTTCAAGTACTGATACTTCACTGATATATTTTTATAATATCTCTTAAATCAGTTTGAGCAATGTGTTTAATCTACTTACAGCCATAGAAGATGGAATATGGCTTGGTAAAATCAATAATAAATATCAATATGTTAGTACCTTAATAAATGAATAAGACGTTTAGTACACCATAGAAACTTTGAACTTCTACAATTTTTTTAAAAATTTGACAATTCAGTCTCTGAAATATTTGAATGTTATAAATTTATCTCTACCACTCACTTACAATGACATTAAATATCCTATTAGTGTGATGTGTGAAGTTGTGATACTTACAATATTACACGCTACTTGAAAATATTATGAATATAAGATGGTTTTAAAATAATCATAACAATGTATTCATTTAATAATTCATTTCTTTAAATCTCACTTATGCATTTCTAGGCCCATTTGAGTAGCTACCCAAAAAAAGTAGTTCTGACCTAAAAAATATTTCAGGAAATGAATAAATGTATTCTTTTTTGTTTTATTTAGGACTAGTCTATAGCAAAACATATTCTCTATCTAATTATAACAATATTGTTTTCAGTTCCAATTTATACATAATTATCATAAAAATGACTCTCCTCGTGCTGTGTTTGGTTTATGACCTTTAAAAATTTGGAAAATCTTACATTATCAATCACAAACGTACCATTTTTTGTAAAAAATAATTAAAGATGCTAATGACTCAGTCACTAATTTAACTTTAAATTAATGATGGGAAGAAATGAAAGAAAGAAGTATTGGAGAATTTGTTAACATTTTTGGTTCTTTGTGTTTGCAGTCTGTGCAGAATACCTCAGATAAACAATCATGAAAATTATTCATTAAAGCTGTAGATCATTATTGATAATATCAGGTACACCTACTTTTCACAACTGTATAAAAATTTTTTAAAAAGTGTTTTAGTAACTTCCAAATCCCTACATCTATAATTAAAGTGACCCAGGTTTGCTGACTGAAAAAGGTGACAAGGCATCTTATTGTCTTTTACAAATCATGCAGTCCACAAACAGTATTAGCCGGTAGACACTTATCTGAAACCAAGACATACATTCTCTCTTAGAATAAATAAAATAATTATAAGCAATTATTCATTTAGGACTGAGGTAAAGAGTTTGAAAAATAGAAATACATTATTAAATTTTCCCAGATCAGTAAATAAAATTGAAATACTTTAAAAAAGCAAATCATTATTTCATTTGGAATGCATGCATATAAAAATATATTATACATATATAAATTGATATTTTTACAGCATTTTGATCCCAGTATGGTTTGGGATCGTCTTCAGGTTAAAAAAATTGGTTGTCTTACAATACAATAACAAAAGGAATTCATAAAATTTAATACAAAAAACGAGAGTCAAAAACTATGTGATAACTATAACATGATATTTAATATTTATTGTTCTTTGTGTTATTTCTATCGAAAATGTAAGTTAAACATAATTTTATCTTCTATGTCTAAATTTACAGAATATTCACGTCATATACAGTTATATTTTGGCCTTTTTTTATAACCTTTAGGTCATTTTCCATACATTGTTTGCATTACAGTTGTATTTTTCCATACATTTTTGTACTTTCTGTCATATTTTTGTCTTCTTCCACTTCACATGCTTGCTTTTAAATTTTTTCACGTGTTATCTAATTTCTTACAATTGTTACAGCTTATTGTTTTCTGGATTTCCTATAATTATATACATATGTGAATTTGGAGGGCAGTGTATTTACCAGGAGAAAAAGATAGCACAGAAAGCATTCAATGCAAAGCTAGAGTTAGTTTAGTTTTGTCAGTCTTTGTGCCCAAGTCAAACGCTTCTAAAAATAACTTTAGCTGGTAGAATTGTCTTCATGGAACATCAAAGGTGAAGAGGTGAATTGTGAATGTGCTAAATTTTAAAAGTATAGTTTCAATATATTGGTTATTTAAACAGCAAAAAGATTTTTAAGGTTTCAAAAATGGAACCAAACACTTTTTTAAGTCATATGTATGGTCATACTTTATTTCAGGTCATAAATGCTTGCATATTTCTAACATTTTTAAGTCATAAACATCCAGGCCCCTAATTATCACACAGAAGAGCCTGTCGTTCTGGTCCAGCATTGGAATTGTTATTAATTCTTAGATACCTTGTGTTGCGTGTAATTGTTTAACTTTATTATGACCAAATCTTGTTTCCTTGAAGGAGAGCCTGTAAGGTAGGACTTGTAATTGTTTATTTTATTAGTGGTTCTGGGTTTTGTTAACTTAATATTTAATATCAATGTTATTTTTTTATTTAGATTCTATTCTTTCAAATAGTGACCAGAATGAATTTTGATTTCAGTGACCAATTTGAGTTTTAACTTGCATTTTAACCATGTGATTTGTCATACAAATATTTCCAACTAAAGAATGCAAGTGAAGAGGCTCCTCACACTTGTGTATTTTTTTTTTTTAAGTTCAGAGCAGTGATAACTTTTGACTAGTATTTATAGTCTCAGGTAAAAGTTTAAGAATACCCCTAAATTACACATTATTTCTTCCTGTCCTTATACCTTTGGATACCATTTAGGATGGTATTGTTTAGTAAAGAGCCCTTAAAATGAGTAATATTTTGACCTATCTGTTGTAAACCTGATTTTATTGCAATTATTTTGTTTTGAGATGGGAGTAAAACGTGAGCTGAATTTTAATATAAAAAAGTTATTACTCAAGAATAGTTTCACCCAAGCTAACGAATTTTGAGATGTATATGGGTTTGCAGAAAAGGAATCTTTATCCAATCTCATTTCCAGGTTTTTAACCCAAGAAATTAACCTAAAGCATGCTGTTAGAAAGATTGAAAAATAACTATGAAATGTGGTGGGAACCAGTGCTACCAACTTCTAAGATCCTATGTAAATGGCTGTGTCAGAGTGACATTAAAATAGTGCTAATTATGAACACAATCAAAATTTGAAAACGGCTGATTTGTCCAAAAAGACCTGAAAAAGAAGATGGGTTGAAGCTTGTGACAGAGAGATCACAGGTGCTTTATTTAGAAAATGAGACCGGATAAAGATGCGTTTCCTACAAACCCATCTACATCTCAAACTTCATTAGCCTGGGTGGAAACGTTCCAGAATACTAAATTTTTTACATTAAAATTTAGCGTGGACAGTATGATAGCAAAAGTGTACAGACAGGAAGAAATAATGTGTAATTTAGGGCTTAAAATTCCAACCAAGACTGTATATTAAGTTTTAATGAATTCATTTTGTGGATATTCAAGCGCAGATCTGATTATGTGCAGTTCACTGTTCTCTTGTCTATCAAAGAAGTGCCATACTCAAATAAAATTAATTTTTTAAAATTGTCTTAGGATTGTAAATTTGTAATGTTCTCTGTTGTTTTTTTTCTATTTTTTATTTTTTTTATAAGCATTTAAAACACCCTATTACAAATTTATCATCAGTTTTGGACTTCATTATACTGACCTGGGTTTCCTCCCCCCTCTTCTAGGCCTCAGTCCTAAATATAAGTTATGAACGGATTACAATAAAGTGGGCTTTATTTTTAAGGAAAGAGAGTAATTTAAATCCCTTCTTTTCGTTAGAGAAGTCATGAAGCATTAAAACAAAAAAAGTAGAACAAGTCATTTTAAAAGTTTTATATTAATAATACATATTAGGTAGAAATTTCAACTAACTGCTTACCAATCTCTTGGACTCTGAAAACAATTCACCATTTAAAAAATTAACTATTCATAAACATAAATGATTATAGAAATATTTCTTTTATTGGGTAAACTTCTAAAATTAATCATGCAATTTCTCAGAATTTTCTTGTAGGTTTGTCAGTTTTCATCATCAGGAATTTGTCTATTTATGAAGAAACATTTCAGAGAGATGGGTGAATGATTTTGAAACTTCGATCACCATAAAATTTGTCAACTACACAGTTTCACTGTACTAACAATGAAAATTAGGAAGCTTGATGTTTATGTGCACTAAATCCACCTTTTGCTTTTCAAACACAATTTAATGTTGTGAAATAATACAAATACTACTACTAATAATAATAAAATAAAAGAAAAAGGGGAAAAAAAAAAAAAAAAAACGAGAAAAAAAGAAGAAGAAGAAAAGAAAAAAAAGAAAAGAAAAGAAAGAAGAAAAATGTGAGGAAAAAGAACAACATATTGCTTAAAAATAAATTTTGCTGACAAATTTGTTTGCAATTTAGGTTCATGGAATCATGAACTGGTCATTGATGCATCATGGATGCTGATCCAAATCTAAATTGTGTTAATGATCAGTATTTTAGGACATCAGACAAATATGGCAATTATTATTAATTCATTTCAATATGTGGGTCATTTTTGTCCTATCCCTATTACTTTGATTTAATTTCCATTAAAGTAAGTTTCATTTAAAAATGATATTGTACCATTACACTAACAAAATCACTTCATGCATTTTTCTGTTTTTGCTTAAACCAAACACAAAAATGGAAGCACTTGCTTGTATTTCAAACAAATTTCTTTCCAAATAAAATCAAAAGTACAACTAAAACACATTTTAAAAAATTGTGAGATCCAATGAAATTCTAGCGTTAATCAAACATGCAAACCCCATGCTTTATTCTATTAGCAACCATCATTTTGTTATTTAAACTTGCCTATATGACAATTACCACTTTTTATACATTAAAAATGTATAATAATAACAAAGTGCTCATAAAAAATTTCAATTTTTATTTACATTGTCAAAACAATATTTATTTACAAGACGATGCATGACAAATCAAACAAGCTTGCTCTACTTTCATTAATGCATGCAGAGATTGATGATGTACTATCTATATGTCATGCAGCCCACACACTCTGTTAGCTGGTACTGCCTTATCTGGAACCAAGGAACAGATTCATGTGATTTTCTTCCATTCAGAATATACCACTACCCCCTCCTCTCTCAATGGTGGTTACGTATTTATTTCCTTCTTGCAAGTTGAACGACTTTTGTTCTCCACCCAGTAGTATACCTTCCCATGCTGTTATCTTTCAATAAGTAATTTGTCTTAATACACCTACTTCAAACTACAAAACAAAATACACAATGGGGACCACCTGCAATTGCAAGCACAACATTACAGTACAACATACAAGAACAAATTACATAACTTATCGATTTTTGAAATCACTGCACGTAAGTAATTTAAGCAAAATTATCATAAAATGTGATACTGTAGAAGTTGATTTGGATGAAACTTGAATATTCTCAATTTCTTGAAACATTAAATAAAATTATGGTAAAAGTTTCAGTTTTATTAATTACACCCATGGGTTGTAAAATTTCAGAAAAGTAAACCACAGAAAAACTACATTGAATTCTTGTTGCGTTTGTGTTTTAATAAAGATGTAGCAAGGCAAAATACCATGATAAGTATCTTTCAGGGTTATTACACAACATTCTAATTCCTTTACATAGCATTGTGCAGATAGAGATTGCAAAAGAAAACAAAAACAAGGCTCATTATAGCAAACAAATCTTTTGTTTTTGTAGCAGAACAAAATAACTGCAATACTTCTAAATATTCTTAATTACAATCTGCAAGGCTATTCCATATATCTGAAATAAATATTTATTCAAAGAATGGATTTTTTATTTGGAAATGAAAAATAAAATCAATTCAAAGAAGGTAAAGGTAAATAAAAAGTTGAATTAAAGATATGGGATACAAGGTCTCTAAGACATCTGATCCAGTGAAGGAAAGAAATCCATTCCATATAACACAAAGAGCAAAAACAAGAATGGAAACACAAGACAACAATAAATTAAATACATCAAATGTTTTGCAACAAGTTTGTTTATATTCAACACAAAGTTTAAAATTATTTTGGACACAACTTACCCATCATTTTAGGATATGCCAGATTTAAGTTGGCCATAATTTCAACAAACTCATCAATTGGCTTTGAGAGGCGGGGATTGAATTGTTTTTCCTCACCAACAGTTGTACAAGTTTGACCTAAAAATAATATACATTAAATATTCATTTTTATTTTGTTCACTTAAGAATTTTAAGAATCATTAGGTAGAGTGAAAATTTACAAGTAGCTGAGAAAGGTTTCTCTGAAATGTAGACTTCATTCTAAATCATTAATATCCCATGCAACAGTTTTGGTAATAAAGTCTTGTAAAAGATTATTTCAAGTGGCATGATCATTTACAAGCTTTCACTTGTACAGTGCTGCACAGTTAGTTAACTTAAAAAAAAAAATATCCACCAAATTCTCTTCCTGCCATGCTCCTAAACAAGATTATTTATATACAGAGGCTTTCAAAGAAGTTTAAAATGGTCAAACAGTGAATTTTGTTATTGTTGAACTCTAAGATGACCATCAACCACTGTGTTCTTCTAAAGGAACCATAACAATGCAGCATTTGTATGGTACAAGACACTCTAGGGTATTTCAGGAGAATTTTATTTTCATATACTTTACAATGTAAGCTCCCTTTGGTTACACTGCATTCAAGGCTACACAACTGGTTTATTTCAGAAACAACATGAGTCAAATTTTAGCACTATTGATTTCTTAGCAAATTCTCTGTATGATTATGCTTAGATCGATGCAGATCTAGCATGAATCATGTGGTTGTTGAGGGAGTTTGGAACAGAACATATAAAAAAATGACACATTCATCCCACATAGTAATATATTCTTTGTCCCAACTGAAAAGTTACTATTGTCTGAGTTGTTTCAGAAATAAGCCATTCAAATGTAAGATCGATTACACGGTGACCTGAGAATAGCCCACTCCACATGAGGCACATACTTGACAAGTTATGGCTTCTTTCCTCTTCACGACAACATGAAAGTAAGCCCTGTAGCTATTATGATTGCAAGAATTTAAGCAATACTAGTAATACACGGTTTTGCTAAATGAGGGAAAATGTAGTTTTCATAAGCAACTCCCTACTGTTAGAATTGAAATAAGTTTCACATCAAAGAAAGTGGTTGAGTTTTGGTTTGCCTCTGACTTTGTGGTCAAGTTCACTCACCCCATTTCTGCACCCAAACGGGATGTTATTGCTGAGCACTCATGTAATGATTTCTTTCTCCACAAAATTGCACCAAACTAAGGTTGTAGTGGTAGTACAGGTGCAAAGATCTAAATGATAACATGTTAAATTGTTTCCGATTTTGAGGTTTTTAGCAACTGACCCCTGACCCCTTACCCCCAACTGATTTTAAAAACATTTCATGTCAATTCTACATTCATTTCTTCTCTTTCTCATATATACACACACACACACACACTAAATGCTCACCTTTGTAGTCATGGGCTGGATAGAGTCTAAAATTGTCTGGCAGAGTAAATATCTGATCGTGGACTGAGTGAAACAGAGTACGAGCATCTCCTTCTTGAAAGTCAGTGCGTCCACACCCTCGGATGAGGACTGCATCGCCCGTGAAAGCAAGGCCTTGCTCATGGCTGACATACGTCACACATCCTGTGCATATTGGCAATTACATTATAAAAGATTAGATTTATTATTAATTCTGCAAGTAATAATAAATTATGAGGATTTGAGTGTGTTTTGGGGGAGTTCTAAGGTACCTACAGGGGTGATTAATAGCACTTTCAATTCAATTCAATTCAATTCAATGCAATGCAATTCAATGCAATGCAATTCAATGCAATGCAATTCAATGCAATGCAATTCAATGCAATGCAATTCAATGCAATGCAATGCAATTCAATGCAATGCAATGCAATGCAATGCAATTCAATCCAATGCAATGCAAATTCAATGCAATCCAATGCAATGCAATGCAATGCAATGCAATGCAATGCAATGCAATGCAATGCAATGCAATGCAATGCAACTACAATCAATTGGCCATATTTTTAGCCAGCCTGACCCCCTTCCTTGCTATGTTACTTAATGCTAGTGTTAATGCAAGAGTAATTTCATCCCATCATTTTTGATAGGATTAACCGAAATTTTAAAAAATGTAACTTCAATTTATAAAATTGCAAAGGCTGCAGTGATAGTGTTTATATTGATTATCTCTATTACTCTTTTATTTTTATTTTATTTTTTATTAGGAGGGCCCACGAAGATATTAATCTGCTCCAGGGGGAGAATTAACTCATTACTTCACCCCACACTCTCCTCACTAAAGTTCAATGATGCAACGTCTCCTGCTTGGGAAGTCTCTTTGGAAGATACAATCAATCCATTTTGGGTGTCTATTTATGATATGCTCCCTTTGAAACTTTGAAATGAACGAAATTGAACACAAAGAGAGTCTTGAGAGCATTATTACGATTTATGTTGAGTAAACAAAGTATTCATTTCTATATTCATTCTTCGACCATCCCCACCTGAAGTTTTGAATGCACTTGACAAAATTTCCAATTCATATTCAACGTATTGCATACAATTATATATTTTTTAAGGTGTACAAATTAATTCTATATTTATTTCACCACTATTTTCATAATATAATTTTTTTAAGTAGTTCTGATATTACAGAAAATCAGAACTATTATGCAATAATAAAAACTGATGTAAACAGGAAGATACAGGAAGAGAAATGTTGCTGCAAATAACTCATGAAAACTCCAAATAAAGTCAGGCAAAAACAGAGAACAATGAAGCTGAAAATTAAAAGGTAGGAGGAAACTAAAAGAAATGAAAAAAAAAAGTTGAAAATAGAAAATTTAGTAAATGTGGCTTGTGAATTAAAATTGACAATGCACAACCTAAAAACAACCAATATTTTCAGAGCAAAAAATTAATTTCCAGCACATACTAACTAGAGATGCAACATTGACAGTTTCAAAACATTGGTATTTTAATCATTGATTTATTAAAGCAGATGTTTTTTAGTATTGATGTTTTGTTTGTAAGCGAAAAGAGTTACTTTTAGAAAGTTGAAATATAGAGTAACATTTTATACCACTGACACTTCATGTGAATGCTGCTTGCAGTACCTTCATTGAGCAGTTTGTTTCTCGTCAGAGAGATTACCCCAATGCCCTGGTTCCTACCCCAATTTCCCAACAACTTTCCATGTTTTTCCATGGTGTATTGCAGTACTGGTGCTAGGCACGGGCAGACTGGGCAATTGCGCATGGCCCTGCAAGTCAAGGGGTCTGATGATGGAACCAATAGGAAATAATTAGTAAAAAATTGAAAAAGAAATTAGAGCTCAAGAAAAATGTTATCGTAATTTTATGAGTAACAATACACTAGTCTCAAATTTCATAAGATTTTCCAATTATTTTTTTACTGTAAATTTAATTATAGTAATTACTTTTAAGTTAAGAGTCGATATATAAAATGAATCAAATGATTCAAACGTTAACATAGGTTTTACAGAAATTCATAAGTATTATTTCATATATTTAAGAAGTAATATTATTGAACACCAAGTAATCACAACAAAATTGTTTAGAGTTTTATGATCATCTTTGAAATTGTATTATTTGATCACTATACAAAAAGAAAAAGAAAAAAAAAATTCTAATTGAAACTTACATTTTCGTTATTTGTTGAAATAAAATAACTCGGGGAGGGGCCACTACGTTTCAACATTGCCCTGGGCCCAAAACTGCCTAACTCTGGGGTAATGGTGGCTTGATTGATTGGTTGGTTGGTGATTCTGGGAACATTAGTCCCGAAAGTGTAATACGTGATCTGGCGAGATCCAGCGCCGATCTACCCGTCGGCTAGAGAGGTTTTCCCAACCAGGCATCTTCCACCAGCGGTTAGGGTTCTGCTCCGGTATTCACCTTGTGTTGATCAGAGAAACTACGTAAAACTACCGATTAGAGCAGCTGGAATTCTCCTCCAGCCAGGCGACGAGCTAGTGTCGAAAGTCCAGCCATCGTAGGGAGTGCAAACCTACGACCTCACGGTAAGAGGCACTGCAGTGACACCACCAGTTGCATGGCGTAGGGTCCAGGATTCCGGCTCGGGCTAGTTAATTATTATTGTCAGCACGTTCAGGCGGCCCCAGGTGAAAGGGCGCCTATTTCATACTACTATTATACTAAATATTAATTACTTGATACTTTCTCGGATACTTTGCAACAGTTGATACAATAAAAGATTAAAATCAGCACCTCATAGACGAACGATTTTTTCCACTTCGGTGGCTAATATAACTCTTGTTTCTAAATCATTAAAGGTAAGCAATTCGTTTACGTTCTATTACAGACAAATTCATAAAATCAAATAATAAAGACAGATTTCCACTATTAATTGTTAACCATAGACTAATGAATATCAATTTTTTAAAGGATATTTTCATTATTTAAGTTTCCAACACTACATGAGCTTGCTATACACTTTTATAAAGGAGGTCCGGATAAAAGTTTTACGGGCGGGCCCGCATTCATTTCGTTACGCTACTGATTTTTTGTTTTTTTGTTCGTTGTTCCTTATAAATCAATAAACATGACTTCTGATAAGTGAAATTCTTCGGTACGCGAACAACAATATCACAGATAACAAAAAGTTTAATAAACATCCGTCTTCTGTTGTCGATGTGGCATCTCTTGTAGAGGTCGCTGGTGGAATTTGTGCACCGGACTTATGTCACAGGAGAGAGAGCGCTGCACTGAAAGCCACCGCAAACACGACCACTTCCTAGCTTTTCGGCGCATAAATATCACGTTTCGCTTAAGCCACCCAAGAAAACAAATGAAACAAATTACTAGCGCATGCACAAGAAAGGAGGTAGCGGAATAAGATAGGCAAAACTGTCCCCGGGGATAACATTTTTTAAGTTGGAAATCGTAATTGAAGTATAAATAATAATAATAATAATAATAATAATAATAATAATAATAATAATAATAAAGTTTTTCGCCGGATTTAAATTAATTTATCTCGGTTATTTCGCACAAACGAAAACAAAAAGTTATTTTAGCTTCCGATTCAGTTTAAATTTTTTAACCACTTTGCGTCTATGAATATTTACTTTAAATGATAAAGATTAAAATTTTGGAAAACTGTAGAGAACTTACAGGGTTTCAATTTGTATTTAGTCTTTTTCTATGATCTGTCCCAGAACATGAAATATAAAAAACGAAGAAAAAAAAGTATTTTTTTTTCTTTTCCCCCCTTCTTTTGTATTGATTATTGGTCAAAATTGGATCTAAACGCCTGAAAAAAATCGAAACATCTTATTATCTACGAAAAACTGAAAGAACGATTAAAGCCAATATTCATCACGAGTGCGAAGTACTCCGGGAAAATTGATTTATATCTGTCGAAAAACTTGGTTTTTGTAATACTTCAAATATGACTCGATATGTAAAAATTTGTATCCCCGGGGGGCAATTGCGCCTATCTTATTCCGGCCCTCCAATTCTGGACGATTCCGATGCCTAGATGGCGCTAGCTCAGTGCCTCCCTGCCCGTGTGTTGCTGTCGCCCAGTCGATATCGACTGCAATGTTTTTGGCTGACCGTTGGTGTGTCCAGGCGTGGCGCGCACTTCCAGCTGGTGGCGGCCGAAGGTGACGTTCTCGCCGGGCTCCACGTACACGTCCGCCTTGGCGCCGCTGTTGCGCGAGATGAGGCTCTGGCAGCCCGGCAGCATGCGCTTCAGCAGCCCGGTGCCAGTGATGTGGTCGGCGTGCATGTGCGTGTTCACTGCAACAAGGCGCGCACTCCGCACTCCTCCGGCCCTCCTTACACCCACACGTGTGCTACGCGCTTTGTTTCCCCAACCGGGTGTCGCCCACCAGCGAGGCACCACCCCAGTCGGGACAAGCTCTAAGCTCCCGACCGGGCTCCCGGCACGTGTAGTGCTTGTTAGTGTAAAGGGTGAGGATTGGACAAGGACAAGGACGAAAACATCGCGCGCGGTTCTACTGCTCCGGCATTCGCATGGTGTTGATCTTAACCATCACAGCCGGGAAGAGCTCTAAGCTCCCCACCGGTCTCCCGCGATCTGTGGAGTGTGGTGCATGCTAGTGTAAGGGGAGAGGATAGGACAAGGAGGAAGGAAACATCGCGCGTGGCCCGTTTGTTAAGATACTGCTCCGGCATTCGCCTGTTGTTGATGCGGAGAAATCATGGAAAACTACTACCGATCAGAGCAGCCGGCCGCTAGAATTCTTCTCCAGACAGCCTAGCCTTCTTGTTAGAGTCTACAACTGTCGGGAGAGGAACCTTAGGACTTCCCCATCAGAGGGACTGCAGTGACATCACTTGATGCCCTGAGCCCCCAACGCCCGTCTGTCCATTCGCAATTGGGCTCCACTGTGAAGCTACTATTTTGACTTTTAAACAGATTTCCCAACGTGCGCAGTATTTGCACGGGTCCGGCTAGAATGCATTTACGCAGGAGTCCGTTCCCTACTTACAAATTTATCTTCAATGCAATGACCTATAAAACTTCCGTCACTAGCACAAAATCGTGAGGTTCTTCCATGCTCAAAGCGCTCCATCTTCCCCAACCCTGCCAACCACTATTCACTCTACTCGTAGGTGTAACTTAAGGTGGACGTGGAGGTAGTCGCCCCCACTGCCTCCCCAACATTTCGAGTTTCTCTGATTTTCACAGTCTTGTAAAATGTATTAATATACATGTTAAGCGCTTAAGACTTAAATTTCTAGAATTGTACTGTGCTGAATAATTCCAAAGAGGTCCCCCTGTCCATTCTACAGCCGTGAGTCAGAGTTACTGTTTTGTTAGAAATACCAACAAGTCTATTCTGTAGTTCGTTTTCAAAAGGGACCGTCTATAAATTACGGAACACAAAGAGGAAGATGGTCTCCAGATGAGATGATCAAAAGATACCCTAAACCAAATGACTTATGAGTAGTTACACTATAACTCTAAATTAAATATAATATTTTTGGAAGGTTTCTTAGCCCCCGTCCCACCAGCCACACCCATCTACAGCCAAAAACATATTTATTTTATTTTTTTCGTCAATTTAATACTTTTTTATGATAAAAAAATTTGAAAAGAAAATAATTTTTTTTGAATTTTTCTCAACGCCAAATCCAAACGCAAAAAATCATTTTTGAAAAAAATAACATTTTTTTACTTTCACTTAGAACTCTGGAACAGACTTGAAAACTTCTCAAAAGTCCCTCTCAAAACACAAATTTTTGTGATTTTTATCTACTGCTGTAGCAAAAAAATTACTATTATAAAATATTAAAAAACATATTTACTATTTTCCGCCTTTAAATATACATAGAAAATGCAACAGTTTTGTACATTTGAGTGTTTATTATGAACTTGTATACATTGTTGTAATACACAGTAATATGATACCGAGTCCGCCACTTTACTATCTACGGACAATGACCAACGAATAAAAATTTTGATAATTTCAATTAAAAAAAAATTAAAAAAAAATAAAATAAAAAAAAAATTAAAAAAAAGCTGTACCATCGCAACCGTCACGGGTATCGTTAGAAACAGCAAGATTACTGAGCAGATGTAGAAAGCCATCTGAAAGAGTAGAGCAGGAAGTCAGGACCAGGTTAGCCAACATTAAATGAATGTTCTAAATTCGATCTCTCAGACATCTAACACGTAAGGATAAGAGTTGTATGAGCAGTTGATCAGTTACAATTTTTTCGCACTGATTTTTCAAGTTCTTCCTATGGAAACTGCAAAAAAGATTGTGGCTTTATGATCGCAAACGAATTGAGCCAATAAATCGATGGCACAGCTGAGTAATCACAATATCTAAACAAGCGAAGTAAACATTAACCTTGAATCGTTTCTCGCCGTCAGATAAGGGATGATCTTCGCACTGTTCACCCAAATAACATTTGGCTGTTGCTTTTCCCTCGCAAAACTCTACTTCTACGCCCCAAACTGTAGGCAACTCTCTTGCATCGGATTTGTCACAGTCACTTCTAAAATCTTTCAGATCCTCGTAATCGGCTAAAATCAAATAGGTACAGTGTTTGGCAAATATGAAAATGAGATTTTTGTAGCTTTTGAGAGACAGAATTAGTCGCGATCAAAATTTATGTATGCAATTCAACTTGGTATACAACTCGAACATCTCCATTTCTTTTTTGTGGTTGAACGTACCTGCTCAGATGCACTTCCGCTTGTTAAAATTATATTTTGACTATTCCACTCATGAAATTAAAACCAATAGTGTTTAACTACACATACAAAATGCCTCAATCAGGGCGGTGTATCTCAAAACGTTTATCGCTTTTTCTATCAGATTTTTCTTCCTACTGGACAATCAAATTGTGACATCTATTTTTTTTAAAAAATATCGTAGGTGTCGATGTACTACATTGATCGCTGTGTGCAGGCGATTTTAACATAGTTTTTAGTTGTTTTCAATATTTTCCAACAATTTCCAAAACACTCGTGGCATTACCCCCGACACAACTCGCAATACAGCACATTTGGTCTGAATCGTCAAAAGGGAATCACATCTGCTAGGCCACCTTATAACACAGAGACGCTTCAGTTGTGAAGCTGTCCAATCTTTAATGAAATAAATAATAAGGGCCTCGAGATATCAAATTACAAATTTGAAAAACTGTGGTAATAAATTAACAAATTGCTTTTAGAAGGAGCCTTTGAAAGCGTTCGGTTTGACAAAAATAATAGGTACGGTATGCCTTGTCTGGGAGCCCCTAGTACTCGTAATTGCACCTCCCACTCCCAGGCCGGCGGGAGCTATACCACGACAGAATTTTCTGCCGCGAGTGGTGAGAGAGTAGTTTGCGAGTGTCCCACCCCCAAGAATATGCATTAGCAACAATAATAATAATAATAATAATAATAATAATAATAATAATAATAATAATAGTGGTGGTAATAATTTAAAGTCTGCCCCGCACAGAGCGTTGCGGCAGCTGTCGTCTGAGCCGAGGAGGCTGCAGGTTCGAATCCTGCGTAGGCATGTTCGTATTTGTGATTGTCCCTTCACCTAACATCATCATCATCCTATCATCTCATAATTCACACTTTAAGGCATAACAAACTTGTAGTGCCGGTCCGGATGGCCGGAAGGCAGTAGCGATTTCGGACCGAAGGATCGCGGGTTCGAGTCCCGCCTCGGGCATGGTTGTATTGTGTTCGTCCTTTCACCCCCTAGCATCATCACCACCATATCGTGTCATTCTCATAGTTACCACGCAATAGTGGTCGCTAAAAACCTAGAAGTTGATGCGACCTTAAATAACGTGTAGTGTAGTGTAGTCAGTAATGGCCTCTATACCAATAATAATAATAATAATAATAATAATATAATAATAATAATAATAATAATAATAATAATAATAATAATAATAATAATAATTTAAAGAAATATGGGCACAAAGAAAAGCTAAGAAACGTTTTTGTAGTCCCAATTGCACTAATTAGCAAGAAAAATAAAATAATTGTAAAATGATATATGAACTTTGAAACAAATCTGTCATTTCATATAGATTGATTGAATTTGTGACTCCCCAATTTTCCCAATATTTGACCACAAAGCTATGCCCATGATTATGAAAAACATAGTATTCAAGATGCCAACTTCCAAAAACCCATTATTTCTCTAGTTCTGTTACCAAACAGCGACGTTTTCGAGAATGACGAAATGTGTTTCAATCCCAAATTTCAAAACGTTAATTTTCAACCAACAAAATGTCTAAGTTTTTCTTGATTAATTGTTTTACATTTAACAAAACATTCATTATATATTACATACACACAAACGTATTAATATATTAATCAGATAACAAAAGCAAGATTCACCAGTACAATTATTCCTGTTAAAAAATATTTCAAGTTTTTGTGTTTGGAACTCGAAATTTGCGAGCTTATTTTCTTTGAAAATGTTAGGAATTTATGGAGAAACAATTTTAACACCTGAAGAGAACTTCTGTAACTCTTCAACACAAACTCAGAACTTATATTTGTTATCCAAACATCACATAATTTTATTATTTCTATTTTTCTTATGGATTCCTGACAATCAATTATAAAAACTTGAATATTCTTCCTCAAATTACATGAAAAGTCAATGCAGATAAGCAATGTGCATACTTTAAAAATTCTTTAGACAAAATAATGATAAAGTGGGACAAAAGCCCTAAAACTTTCTTCAGAAGTAACTGCAATTTCATGATGTCACTGGATCATGAATGAATATAATTTTTTTCTATTGTCTACACCATGAATTATCTATAATGACAACAAAAGATTGTACTAAAAATAGTTTAAAAAAAACAAAACAACGGAAATACCAACTATAAAAGTAAGCGATCTAAGAAATGCCAGAATTATAAAAATTTAGGCAGTAATTTTTGAAACAACATTGAAATGGAAATATTAAAATTAGTCCTGCATTGATCTTAGAAACAGAGTCAATAACAGTTAAAGATATAGCAAGGACAACATATATAATAAGGAATATATTGTAACAAGGGAATCGTGAATGATTGCCTCTATTCATTTCATATTTTGCCATTGACATCAACTAATACATTTTGAAATAAATGAAAAAAATAAATTACATTAAAAAATTCATTCAATTTTCTAAAATTAAGAAAGTTATTTGACACATACTGGCAAACTTGACAGTAAATCCCAGCTCTCGAACAACATTAACATCACGATCGACCAGCTCAAAGACAGGGTCAATAATGACTGCTTCCTTCACATTTGTATCTGCTAGCAAGTAAGTGTAGGTACAGCTTTCTCTGTCAAAGAGCTGAAACACCCAAGAATAACATGCATTAACAATTACATGAACACTGGCAACATATTTACACTTATCAATGATAAGATGTAATTTGCCAGTAAGTGTACAACACTATGATTCGATATAGACATCTGAAGGTCCTAGAGAGGAATCCCTTCTTTGTCCTTACCTGTCTGAAGAAAAAGTCTTCTGACAAGGGAATTTGAGTAGCCATGGCTTTCGTGACTGTGCTACAACTCGACGAGAATGACACTTTCGTTTTAAAGTATGCCGCTTTTATAGCACATCCCTTCACCCCCCGCACAACTCCTCTCAAGGTCAACAAGAGCATGTCACGCTACAAGAAATCGAAGTGTCAGTGGACTTCTCTGCTCCCACGACGACTGACGAGCCAAGATGATGCAAGTTGGCTAAGGTAGTACCAGTTTCGTACGGGGACATCATCTTGGTGGGGGTAATGCTTACTTGCGTTTTATCTTTTCTCTGAAACCATGTTGTGAAGTGTTGTCACAACATTTACACTGCAATTTACAAGAGGATGACGAAAAACCTGATTTAGGGCGACCACGCCCCCTCCCTCTACCACGAGGTGCGTGGCGGTGTTTGGGTTTCGTTACCCTGGCAGCACGGCAACAATAAAGCGATAGTCCGTTATCGTTATGGCACTGAAACGCAATGTCCTGCTTACTGGATAAAATAAAATCTCAAATCCATTTAATGAAAATAGTTATCAACTTTTGAAGTCATTACTAATCGGAAACACATCGGTGTAATGTTTGTTCTCTGGTTTGGATAATTTTTGAATAACGTAGTATATACCTCTGAAATTGACCACAGGCTGCGTTGTGAACTCAAACGTAATTTCTTTCGACTTCCTTTTCCGGTTGCTCTTAGGCTGTTCGTAAACCACGCTGCATCGTAAGTAAATTTCGAGGTTATTGAGATTATAAATGAAATATTGTAATAGAATTAATACTTACTAGTTATTGTGTGCGTAAATATAATATTAATATTGATAAATTACCTGTTTTGTAGTGGCCGTGTGAGGAAAGTAGGTTTGATTGAGTAATTTGTTGTGAAAGCAAGTCTGCCATATTCAGTAAACGCATTCGTGTTCATATTGTTACAACCAATTCCCCGGAATATATTGTTTATTAAAAAGTGTTTTTTACAGATGCCGTCTGTGACGCTCAAGGATGTGGACCAACAAAAGTTTGTGAGAGCATTTTCGGCTTTCCTTAAAAAGTAAGCTCGACAACGTGGACTGTACTGCTCCTTTTTCTGATTTTCAGAATTCTTATTTTATCTTTTTTTTTTATTTCTAGGTCAGGCAAAATGAAAGTGCCTGAATGGGCTGATCTTGTTAAGACCGCCCGTTACAAGGAGTTGGCTCCCTACGATGAAGATTGGTATTATACCAGGTGTGCCGCTCTTGCTAGACATATTTACTTCCGATCTCCCGTTGGCATTGGCGCTGTCAAGAAGATTTTTGGCGGTAAATTATATTATAATTAATTTATTTTTTAATTAATTTAGTTTAAGTTTAAAGAACTCTGAACATAAAAGATTGGTGCTGTGTTGTGTGTGTGACTTGCTAGTAAAGTACAGAATGAGAATCGGCAAGATGACTGTATTTAGGGAAATTATTGGATGATTATATATTTTCTGGATATTTTCCTTTATGTACCAGATCATTAACAGGAAGATTTGGTTCCATTTATTATTAGAAATGCTTATTTGGTGCGGGGACATTCACCGGTTCACTAGTCAATATCATCTGCCAAGGGTTAGTTCTTTTGATTAGTTTATGAAACAATTCAATGGTTGTAATTTGTTATTAAGAATGTCAGAATGAATTTTCTCAGACTCGCTGAAAATTACAAATTCAAAGAAGTTTTAAATTTCTTTAAAAGGAATAGGAATAATACACAATTTATGGGTATGTGATGACAACTTTGGTAGAAATGCAGTAATCCAATTCGTCATGTGCACCTATTAGTAATGCTTTGCTCCATGTGTTCAAGTTGAGAACAAGGCTTGGCCTTGAGCTCTAGTGTTAACATAAAACATCCTTGAGTCTGTCCCAACACAAAAAAAACAATGCATTTTGTGCAAATACTCATGCACAAATTGTTGTAATTACTGAAGTCAATAGAAAAGGCCATGTATGAGAAAATGACTCACGAAGTTTTGAGTTAAAATAATCTTAAGTTGAATACATGGCATTTATTGCTAAGCCTTGAAAAATTCATATTCACTGTTCTCACATTCACTGAATAATTTCAAAATGCTTTACAGTACTTTCTGTACTTAAACCTTGAGATGATGTATCATTATTTTGAATCACTTTGGAAATGACCTATTCCATTGACCATCTCTTTTAGATTTAAAAAAATCTCACTTTGATAATGATCATGGATGTGCAGCCTAAATTTAATGTTCTGGGCTTTAGGACTTAGGTTTTATTAGCTTAAAGCTGTTTAATGGAGAAGGCTGCCTGAGTGCAGTGTCTGACTCAGCCGTTCCGGCGTTAACTAGGCAGTTAGAATTCTGGAGGCTTTCTTGAAAAGTGCTTTCTTATAAAAGTGAAATGGTAATTATGTGTTGGATAGACGCAAGGATGTTTATAGTGAACGCAAGGGACGAGGGCCTGAACCTCGCCGTGACTTGGATCCGGGCGAGCAAAGCGAGAAAACTTGCCTTTGAAAGTAAATTGGCGTTACAATGCGGCGGGCACAAAGCATATAAAGGGTGAACCATGAAAATCTCCTATTCATAAGTTGTACTCGTTTCTATTGGAGCACGTACAGTAATTAGGGCTTAAGCCCCCCTGCCACGCTTCTCTAAGGGTGTACCGTATACTAAACTTTAACCAAAAGGAGTATTAGGGATAAGGTTCTTGCATCCCAGTTGCCATTTCCTTCGATCTTCCTAATCTTCCCCTTGAATATCTTGTTCCATCATTGCCTTTTCTATCTCATTTTCCCATGTTTTTTCTTGGTCTGCAATGCTTCCTGTTTCTTTGAGGTAACTTAAAATTTTCTTATGCCATTAACTTTCCGTCGTCCTTTGGACGTGACCATACTATTTCAATCTTTTAGCATCAGTTGCATCTATTATATCGATATCAGTATGTAAGTAGCAGTGTGTAATTTAAGGCCACAACAGAGTCTCCGATAATTCATTTCCTTTGATTTTTATTTTTGGACGACTTGAAATCCGAACTTCTGAACTGCATATAGATTTGCTTTCAACCAGCAATTTGTATATTCTTATCTTGCTTATTATTGTTTGGTTATATTAAACATTACTCAACTGACTTGTCTACTCTCCATTGAATCTTTAATGGGTTCCATTTCCAAACAGTCTTCTATTGAGCAACAAATTGCAGTACTACTAAGTGGAAATGATAGCAACAAAAGTTGCGTGTTTTTTGATTTACATTTTTTTGATTTGTACTTTGAACTTTGCAATGATTTACAGTATGCTAGTGTACTAACTTGTTATTTTGTCATGTTAAGAGAAAAGTACAAAAAGAACATCTGTTTGTACCTTTAGTTCGAAAGCGATCTTGCAATCTCAAATAGAATAATTTGTCTGCTCCTTCGCTCAAATTTCATTGCAACTGTATGTTAAAACATCTTACTATATTTCCGTCTATTTTTTTTTTTTTTTTTTTTTTTTTTTTTTTTTTTTTTTTTAATGTGAAATTCGATTAACTGTTTAATTTTGTATGGGTAAAAGGAGTTCAGTCATTTTTTTTAATGAAGATGGAGTCCATTTGCTCAGGGAGTTTCACATGAAAAAATCTACTTGTGAAATTAAGTGAATTTAAAATTTTTGAATTATTATTCTTTACAATGATCACACAAATTTTCATGTCAACTTTTCTTCCAACTCACTTGTATGAATTGATTCTCTTTTCCAAATTCCATTGAATTAACAGTCAAAATAGGTTGTTTATTATTAATTGAAACAACTATTCTGGAAAAATCTTTATTTATTACTAATATGTTGTAGCTTGTTATTGCTTGCAATCTTGATATACACTGCATAACTACCTGGATCGATAGGATTATAGTTATAAGGGAAATATGAAAAATTGAATGATGCTACATTCTTATGGAGAGAAATATGAAAAGATAAACAGTCAAGTTGACAATTAGTGAATTAGCAAATAAGTAAATCTGAATCGATAAAATTAGGTAAAAAATGTATGTGCAATGGGCGTAAATTGGTTCCAATGACCGTGGGCGACAAAATACCCTCGGGCATTTTGTTGCCACTTGTCATTAGAGCCCTTATAGTGCCCTTAATGCATAAATAACTAATTAATTTTAAAAGCTTTGTGTGAGAAACCTTGGAGGTGCGGTGCAATGTGTGCACATTGTCTTCTGCTGTAGAATCCTCATTTTTTTCTCTTATACTGTATTAATTTGAATTGGGATTGCAAGTAGGAACAACCCTTTCTGACAAGAATTGATAAGAAAATATTTGCAACTGCATAATAAAAATTATTTGCAAAAGGCAAATGAATTACAAATTTGGTATGTTATCCTTTATAATGACCTTCTTGAAGGAATAGATTTACTGCTGAGGGGGAACAAATATTTGATTAAGAATGTGTTCCACTGAACTCAGGGGCACTTGCACAGATATTGAAGTTCTGTTGAAGAGGCGTTAACTTATTACTTTTGCTTAAAGGTCGCCAGCGCAACGGAGTGTGCCCTTCCCATTTCTGCCGAGGGTCGGGTGGTGTCGCCAGGAAGGCTCTTCAGTCCCTGGAACAGTTGAAACTGATCGAGAAAACGGATGAGGGCGGCCGCAGACTCACCACACAAGGGCGCAGAGATCTTGACCGTATTGCTGCGCAGGTCAAACAAAAGAAACAAGCGGCTCCTCAATGAAGTGTAAAAATTTGGTATAAATAAAATATTGCGTTGTAAAATGTGTTCTTTTATTTTCCACTAGTGTTTTTAGCTGACTTATTTCAAGGAAAGCGCTGAAATCAAGAAAAAATAGTAGTTGTGGTACTAAGGCAGTGGTTCTGAACGGAGTCTGTATTGACCCCCAAGGTAGTTAAAATTTAGACCAGTGATGAACAAGGGGTCGATTTTCAAATGAACTGGGGACTGATCATTTTAATCAAATCATGTTGATTACAAAAAATTTAAACAAAGTTAATGATTAAATGTTTTTGTATGATGATTATCCCTTCAGGTCGTGTGCGATCCCTGGAGAAACTCAGGATTTCCATAGCGAGGTCAGGGTCTTGCCATCTCTTATTGTCCTGCCTGTTTTTTTCTGTTCGCTATTGTGTGCTTGACTGCATCTGTCCACACCTTTCGATCTTGAGTGTTGTGTATATCTGTCCAACGTGTTCCCAGTGTTGCCATTATGCCTTGGATCCATCGTGTCCTCCCTGTGTTCTTCGTGATTCCCAAGCTCTTCATTACCTTCTTTACTTGTTTTATGGCTTCCTGAGCACAGCAGCAAATCAAAATCTCCTTTTGGTCGTTGATGGTCTGCAGAAGTGAAGGTAAGTTTTTTACTTTGCAACTTCAGGCATATAAACTCCTCAGGAAGTTCATGTTACTTCTTTCTCCTGATACTCTTCTCCAACTTTCCAATAAAATTCCTTTTCATGTTGGCCTTTGTTGCTTCAGCATTTAGAGGATCAATTAAAATTTGACTCCAAATTCAAAAATTTGTTCTCTCATTTTTGATTAAATGTCAATTCAGAAGAATTTAACATTTTGTGCGTCCAGAAATTATATATTTGGCTATGAAGATATAGGTTCCCAATGTATGTGTCAGTACGCAGACCTTGCTTTGGTTTTTATGGTTCATGGTCTTGTTGATAATTGGAAGCAACGTGCAGTGCACTATTTGTCTCACGGTACAATTTCAACCTCGGATTTAGAAAATATAATAATAGATGTCATAAGTGCTTTACAAAGAATTGGTTTTAATATTGTGGCAATTGTGACCGGGCACCAAGAAACCAACCAACCAATGTTTGCTGCTTGAAAACTTTGGCCTTAAAAACCTGCAATTGGGTAGACCAATTTTAAAAATTAATAATGGTAAAATTGTAATTGCTGATCCTCCTTATGTTCTCAATGCAACAAGAAATGCTATATTGGACAACAGAATTATTTTTAAAACATAGTGGAGAAGTTAATGAAACTAGCTCGCAATTTGTAAGGGACCTTTTTGAATTGGAAAAAAAAATCATTTAATAAGAAAACTGAAATATCACAAATGAACATATTTATCCAAAAAGGGAAATGAAAGTGAAGTTAGCTGCTCAGGTTTTGAATGTAACTGTTGCTAATGCGCTATATAAATGTGGAAGGAGCCAAGTATTTGGCTGAATTTATTAATGACATCACTAGTCTGATTCTTTTAATGGTTTGAAATTTGATGACACACTTTTATAGACTACTGAGTAACACATGTTAACATTTCGAATGTTGGCAGAGAATGAAAAGGAAACGATTCATGGCAGTTTGTTGATGCAGATGGCAAGTCTGCTTGCGCTAAGGGGAAGGAGGCATGGTTATAAAATATCAACGCCGTTTCCACATTGTGGAGAATGCTCGGAGATCTGGAAGTGATGTCGTTGGCAACTCAATGTCTCAACCTCTCCACTTGGGAATCTCTTCTGTGTTGTGAGGCAGCATGATATTCGCATCCACAACCCTATGAGTCTGCAGTTTGATTCAGTTTTGAAATTATGTATTTTGAATGGGATGATTGGTACCAGTGGTAAATTTAAATGCAAGAAAGATGATGCAGATGTTCTAATTTGCATGAATTTGTGAGCAAGATTGGGAGTGTAGGTCAACAGACACTCATATCTGTGATGTTGCAATTCACCTTTCTTGAAGAGGGAGAGGAAATAAGGACATGTGCCTGGATCGCCACAATGCCTTCAGATCCCATAGACTATCTTCTAATAGCTGATGAGGAAACAAGGACAACTAGTAAAATTCGTAACAAAATTCCCAATCTGAAGTCCTGCCATCCTTGTTTTTTGTGTCCTTTATCTATTGCCACCATACTCCCACGTGGGGGAAGTAATGTTTGTGTATGTTTCAAACCAAAGGACATTGTTATTAAAACATTATGAAATATCTTTGAACATTTTCAAATTTTTCGTAATCAAAGGACATGTACCAAAACTTCTTGAGGAACTTCAAAATTATTGTAAAAATTCAGATTTCCAATCGTTTGGCTGTAAAGAGATTTGCTCTGAGGTACAAAATTTAATAAAACTGTCGCTGAGCAAGTATGTGGTTCATAAGTTCTGTGCAAGGATCACAACTTCTTTGAAGAGAAGTTGGTTTCAGTAAATTAGGTAGTTATCACATAATATTTAATAGTTTTAGTTTTAAGAATAGCTCATTTTGAAACCAACTTCTTTTTCATTAATTGCTTAACTTAGAATATGTTTGACCCTGGAGCGTAATTTATTTGTTCTTTAGTTACAACTTGTGCACCATTGTATTTATGCTGGTTTTATCAGAGAAATGTTGCATAATTTTTGTAAAAATGCAGTCAAATGTTACATTTACAACAGAAATACAAGTACATTAGGTTTTACTTCATTGTGTTGTGTTGCTTGAGATACCTAGTTTCTATCTGATTTTAGGAGAAAATAGCTTGTATTGAGCAATACATTTTTAAAGGCTCCTGGGTCATTTTTAACGTATTTGCTGGCAATATTGGCAAATTTACCCCTTCTGAAACAATTTATTGTGGTTTCAAAATTTGTCTTGTGTGTTACTTTCTTTTGTGTATTGTTTTGATATAGAAGTGGGTACAAGCACTGGATATAAGGTTGGTATTCTAGTGGTAGTTGCACTTAAAAACACTGCATATAAAATGGATGTTATTTTTAATCATTTTGTAGGATGCAAAACAATGTGAGGTTTATCACTTGCAGTAATAACTCAGTATTAAATTTTGTTATTAATTTAATTACTGCTGCCATTTAACTATAATTTATTAATATCTTGTATAAATTGTATTTAATGATAAGCACAATTACTTCTCCACTTTCTGTCTGGAAGCAAATTACAACTTAGCATTCTCTCTGAGATTTGCTAGGAAATGGAAATTTGGATCATAATGAAGAGCAGAACACAGTAGTTTAAAAATGTTTTCAAAATTTACTTAAATTTCATTATTAGTTTCTTGGACTCCAATTCAATAAACCATGAAAATTAGAAATTATTAGTGCAGCAATAATTCAAACTTAAACATTTAAATTATCAAATAAATTAATAAGATAATTTTTGTGTAAAATAATTAGGAAAATATATGTGAAAAGGAAGAATAAACTAATGTATGCAACTAAAAAGGTACTTTCATTCCAAACGCTTATCGTTTAGATATTAATCTATTACTCTTTGTGGAAGACAACCAAGCTTCTGACATTCAAAAAATTATGGTACATATGAAAAAAATATTCAGTTTTCAAATTTGTACAGTGTATTAAACTTGTAATTCTTCTAAAACATTGTATGTTTTTTACTGCTTTTCCATTAAAATGTCTTGTAAAGTACACTTATTAAAGAAGAATTTCGAAGATAGTATTGAAAGCATGACTTAATATGTAACTTTAATTGCTATTGCTAAGCAGTGAAATTGAGAGTTGTCTTTTTGCTTGCTTGAGTTGTCATCGACAGTCAAGTTTGTTGGATGATAGTAATTAAACGATCTGTTATTAATTTGGAAATCAATATTGTCATGTTCAATTAGTTATTTTATTGCAATTTCATAAGTAATGTCTTTGCAATACTTAGAAGCACAATACGGTTAAACATAACTGGAATGTCAATACTATAGATATTTTTGATATCTTGAAGCAGTTTTCATTCTCCTCATTACGTATTTTACATTCAATTCCCAGCCAAATATCATTAATGTATGCTATAAATAACGGTCCGTAATAAAATCGACAAATTCGAAATGGGCGCGGACCTCCACAGTGACCGCCGATAATCCGCAATGGGCGCGTAAATCTTCAGGGCGATGTGTAATGTAATGAATATAAAAAATATGTTATATAATAAATACTTATTCTTTTAAACTTTCTTGAAGTTAGGTCGTATCCATTGAATAAAATTAATACACAAGTTATTAAATCAAATTAATGTTATTTTACTTGCAAGACAATCGCAAGAAAAGTCTTAATATCAAGTTTAGTCATAAAAAAAATTAAAGTGTTAAATGTACTTTTTATAGGAAATGTTTGTATTTCATGAAAGTAGGTTTAGCAATTCCTGTTTGTTGGTACCTAGTTCATTAGAATCTTTATTAAGAAAACACCCGAGATATTTCAAATTATTCACTTTTTATAGTCTTCAATCCAAAAATTAGAAAATTAGTTTATGAATTATTTTCTAATAATCAATAATTTTGCCTTTTAACCTTGATATTAAGGCCAAATCATTTCCAAACATTATCTACACAATTAAAAAGTTGCTGTTCACTACTGTGACACTGTACACATACTTGTATAGTGTCGGCTGTTGATAATCATGTGACCAATTATTTGAATTCTAATGTAATTCTAAAGTATACATACATTCGAATACATAATACATTCCAAAAATGTATGTGTTAAAATGTAATTTCAACTGGACAACAAAACTTAATTATTACAAACAAATATTTATTTCAAGAAGAAAAGCCGAAATAACAAAGTAGCATGTATTTGTCAAGTATATTAACATCTTAAAAAATCCAATCATTAATTTTCTGGCAGCATAATACTTATGAATGGCAGTGTTGTTCTTTTGCATGTTGATGAATTCGTTAATTAAAGAAACTATTTCTGAAACTTACAATTACCTTTTTATGACTCATCTTTACTTTTAGTGAGAAGAAATTGTGATCATGTGATTAATATCTCTGCACTGATGTATTGATTCTTGGCACATATTTATGGTCATGGTTTGTTTTAAGTAAAGTATATTTTTGACACTAATATACCTGTTCTATTATTTATTTTCTTCATCTTGTTCAGTCTGTTGAATGTTTCATATTATGTATTTTCTTGAATTCCAAAATTGTGAAAGAAGGTTGACCCGTTTCTGCTCAGTTTCCTTGTTCGAAGATGCACATTTTAAAACAGCTTCATGAATATTATATCTATATCTATATATCTATATATCTATATCTATATATATATATA